GTTCGTCTGTTTGAGAGGGGTCAGATCATTTGGTGTTATGGCCCAGGGACATTTGTTTATTTTATTGCATTTTAATTCTCTTCTTGTTTCCCCCTATAGGTGAGAGAGAGGAGAGGAGATGGCACCACTCACTGATTACCTCCACTTTGACTCTTCAGCTGTCCCAACTTACAATCAGCCCTGCCACTGCTACAAGAGCCAGCCACTCCTTAGTTTCAGGGAGCAACAGACTAGAGAGACTCTCTCTGGTCTGTTGTCTCCTCTGCAGTTTTTATTAGGAATGTCCCATTCCGATATTGATATCGGCCCAAAAACACTGTATCGGCTTATATCGGACTGCATCAAAAATCTCCGATATTAGCAGTACATTCTGCTTTAAATTCCATTCCAGCAATTCTATCCATCAGCCCCCAGATCCAGCATGCAAGAATGGTGTGTGCTAGCAAAGTAGCAAGGAACAATATCGGCCATGTGGCTGTATTTTCTGTTAAAGTCCGAAAAAGACAGTTTGGCAACACTATCATGCACAAGTTTCCCACGGTGGAACAGAACCGGGGAAGAATAATACGTCCAACCTCATCGTGCATTTGAAGCAGGATCACAAAACATTGCATGAGGATTTTCGCAGCATGCGAAACTGAAACTTTACCCCCAAATTCCACTACCTCCGCTCCGGTCCGCCCCCGCCCTCCGCAGCCGCTCGCTTCCGAACTCAATTTTTACTGGTACCCGCTCTACAACGGCTCCGCTCCGGTGCGGAGACCTGAGGGGGGCAAACAAGCATGCGCGGGATTTTCGAGATCTTGCGATACAGTCCGAGCAATAAACGCGGAAGTTAGATCCAAACACCCGTTGTGTGGGAGAAGCATCGAAATGAACTGTTTAATCTGCCCATCATTTGTGTAGAGAGATCAGCAGTGTTTGGATCAACAAAGTGTGACTACTTTGATAGTGGAAACTGTATTTATGGCTTACTTTTGTGCATTTAAACTTCAGCCGCCATTGATAGTTGTTAAAAGTTGTTAAACCTGTGCATATGAAACAAAAAACGCCTTTTGTTTATCGATTTATTGTGAAAAACGGAAGTTGTGCTAGCTCCTTTTCCTGTTGGGCGGTGGTGATTTCTGTCCATTGACTGCGGAGGTGCTCTGGCGTCCGGCGAAAATAGGATCGATTCTATTTTTGCCGGACGCCGGAACAGAGGGCGGCGCACGGCGCCGCACTGCCGGAGAACGGCCGCAGTAGTGGAATTGCTCTGATTGACTACAACGGGACCGATTTTGCTCCGGCGTTCGTGTCGGAGCGGAGCGGAGCGGAGGTAGTGGAATTTGGGGGTTAGACACTCAACTTGTAGCAGTTGGCCAGTATTGTGTTTTTATCCTTATGTCCCTAACCTCAACTGTTCACGTTTATGCAACCAAAGGTTAATAAAAAATTTGTCTTTTTTTATACTTACTGTTGTTGGCATTTGTTTTCTGTTTGAGTAATATCACTTGATCAAGCCTTTTATACATTCCACACTATGAAACAGGTAAACGTATGTATGATTTGTGTTGATCTATCGGATTGATATCGGTATTGGTCAATTCTGAAGGCTGCAATATTGGTATCGTATTGGAAGTGAAAAATTGTATCAGGACATCCCTAGTTTTTATGTTAAACGTTTAGTTTAGTAGCAACTTTGTGAATTTGGGTTCTTTGTATTAACCTCTTTTAAATTCTGTGTAAAGGAAACTTGACACTGGCTTTTCGGTAACTAAAGACATCACTCATTTATGCAACATTCTGTGATGGTCTTTTTGAACAGTTTGTATTAAGATGGTTAATTGGAGAATTTGGTGTTACTAGTTTTGAGTTGTTGCCGGTTTTTGTATTGTATTTCCAAATGTGGGCGGGCAGCAGAGGACGATGTCGCCCTCTACTGCCTGCCCATAAAAGGAAGTGACGCCACCAAAACTGGTGATCTCTGATGACGGCTAGAAACACAAGCTGAAAAATGTCAGGTAAAAAACAATTTTTTACTAAAACGGTGTGAGAAACGCACAAAAAATGGATAACAAAGATAAACACGGAGTGAAAATACAAAAAAAGAAAGGGCATCTGTCACTCATAATGAAAAACGATAGTCATTTTATTTACATAATGCAGCTGAACAAACAGCCATAAAACTTGCCTTAATGCAGTTACGAGTGATTTTATGTCTTAAAAAGCTCCAGGTAAACAACTGGGTGGCCCAATTTCATTCAGCTTTCTGAGCAAACACTAACTGGGAAACTAACACACAAGCATGCAAACGTGACCAATAGGAAACAACTGGATAAGAACGCACACACCAGCCAAGTGTGAAACTGAAGTTCTACCAACCACACTCTCCAGAACGACCTCAGCATCCCGCATCAAGCGAAAACAAGTTATTTAAAAACAACCGTGTTTTCTTTCTCTTGCTTTAGTCCCCCTCCCCCGACGGTTCTCATCTTTCACTTCTTTGTTCTCCTAACAGGAAAAGGGGTCTTGTAACTTACAGACATCAGAGCGACTCTTTTCATTCAGCCTTCTGAGAAACATCTAGAGGCGTTTAACAGAATTGTTTCTAACAAGATTTAACAGAATTAAGCGTGCTTCGGCTCAACTCTGACCTGTTTCTGTTTTCTTCAAAGGCCAAAACTCCTTAAAGCTGAGCGGATATCAGTACGATCTCACTGTATATAAGGCTGGGTGAGCCTGAGTAGGACTGCTCTGCAGCTGCTGCTGCTAAAAACACACGGAGCATGCTGTCAGATACAAACCACAAACTAGTATCTGTGTGTGTGCCGCAGTTGTTCGCTGACAATGTTCTGTTCTCTCAGCCTCAGCCGCTGCTGAGAAATTAATGGAGGTCAGAGAGCATGCCCTACACATGTATACCCATGCACACAGCCTAGCACATACACACAAATGCATGCACACACAAACACACACACACAAACGCAGCCTAGTGCATGCACACAAATCCATGCACACACACTCAGCAGCAAGTCAAAATAGGGCAACTACTGCAGATGAAAGATTTTTTACGCATGGGATCTAGCCTAAAACAGCTGCTTGTGCTTGAGTAAAAAACATAGAACATAGATTAAAAATACACACACATGCATACACTGACTTTATGCGTCTAACTGGTGCATTTGCATATATATATATATATTTAAAAAAAAACATCTAGAAGAGCAAGAGATAAGAAGAAAAAACATGATTCTTCCAGAAAAGAGATCTGGGTTAGGTGAGCCAGACCCGTTAGTGTTCCACCATGTGACCTAATTTCCTGCCACATCACAGACACACAGGAAATGCCATTTTACCACCTGCAATGAAGCATGGCCTTTTCCACCACCTGCCTCTTTTTCATCTGCTAGATATCAAACAATAACAGAAATCTGATGTGGCAGAGATAGTCAACATCCACAAGTCAGAAAACCGATTTACCCATATCGCAGATGAGACCATAACACCATCAGTGCAGATTACATGAATAGTGTGTCAGATTATTATTTAATCCGTTTAAATAAAGCAAAACATTTCAATTTTAACTGTGTGGAATTTTGCTAAATGAACTAACCAATCAGGAGTGAGTGAGTCAACAGTTAGCTATCACTTTAAAACCGTGTCAGCGGTTTCTGACACTTAGAGGCTGTCATCCTTTCATCCTCCACAAACGCAGGGACATGGGGGGGGGGTCTGCTGCTGTGGTGCTGAAACATCACGCCTCAAGTTACATTTACTGAAAAGGTAGGCAGCTTCTTACAACATCCACGCACGCACAGGTACACACACACACACACACACACACACAAACACACGCCAGACAAAAAACCACAAGTGTTCTGAGAAACGCTCACTACCTCAGCACACCCACCTGCCTGCACAGATGGTCAGAACATCAGGAGAGAGGGAGGGGCAAAGGGGGAAAGGAAACTCAATCAGGGTGAGGAGAGAGTGTGAAAACGAGAAATGAGGGGAAGGAGCTGGGGAAAGAAAGGGGGACAGAGGGGGGAGACTAGAGGAGATAAAAAGAGGAGAGGGGAATTACAGGAACCAAAAATAAAAGCCAACGGTTCTATCCTTAGTCCCAATAAGAGAAACGGACAAATGAGAAGTAAGGAAGGAGTTAAAAATAGAAAAACAGAGTCGAAAATAGAAAATGTTTTTTTTCCACTGATGTGGGTGACTCATGGAGAAACCCGGTGACCCTACCAACACACAACCACCTACACACACTTGTGTGTGTGTACACGTTTGTATTTGTGCCTGAGTACATATGTGCGTGTTTGCACATTACCGTGTTTTTGTGGATGCTGTGTACGTCTGTGCTTGTGTGTGTGTTTGTATGTGTGCATGCATGTGTGTGTGTGTGTTTGCAAATTACCATGTTTTTGTGGGTGCAGTGTGTGTGTGTGTGTGTGTGTTTTCACATTACCATATTTTTGTGGGTGCGGTGTACGTCTGTGCTTGTGTGTGTGTTTGTATGTGTGTGTGTGTTTGTGTGTGTGTGTGTGTGTGTGTGTTTTCACATTACCATGTTTTTTTGGGTGCTGTGTACGTCTGTGCTTGTGTGTGTGTTTGTGTGTGTGTGTGTGTGTGTGTTTGTGTGTGTGTGTGTGTGTGTGTGTGTGTGTGTGTGTGTTTGCACATTACCATGTTTTTTTGGGTGCTGTGTACGTCTGTGCTTGTGTGTGTGTTTGTATGTGTGTGTGTGTTTGTGTGTGTGTGTGTGTGTGTTTGTGTGTGTGTGTGTGTTTTCACATTACCATGTTTTTTTGGGTGCTGTGTACGTCTGTGCTTGTGTGTGTGTGTGTGTGTGTGTGTGTGTGTGTGTGTGTGTGTGTGTGTGTGTGTGTGTGTGTGTGTGTGTGTGTGCATTACCATGTTTTTGTGGGTGCTGTGTACATCTGTGCTTGTGTGTGTGTGTGTGTGTGTGTGTGTGTGTGTGTGTGTGTGTGTGTGTGTGTGTGTGTGTGCATTACCATGTTTTTGTGGGTGCTGTGTACGTCTGTCTGGGAGCTGAAGGCAGACAGATCTCCGTTCAGGATGACATCTGCCAGGGCGTTGACCAGAGGCTGGTAGTGGATGATGAGAAACACCTGAAAAACATACAAAAATGTAAAAATTGACACAACTATTAACATAATACCCACAGATTCAGCAATGTTTTACAGAATGATATAAGTACGAGCACAAAAACATTATTTTGTGCATGTTAACAGCAGGCTAACATCATGTTTACACTGGAAGACTTTCACTTTCATTGTGGCAGCTAAGAACAGCTTCTAACACCGTTTCTCCTAAAGCTGATTTTAATATTCACAAAACCTTAGTTTTACATTCAAGTTTTATTCTATTCCACTCAGGACTTTTTTTAAATAATTCATTATCCAAAATATATGTTTACCATGTTAATCCTCAAAAGTTTGGTGAAATAAAAAGCAAATGTCCACCAAGAGCTCACGTTTCAGGATGTAAAGCAACACAAATCTAAAAACCACTAAATGAACTCTACATTAATCATCTGCCCCAGTAAAAGCAAAACGGCACTGCCATGAGTTACTGCCTCACTCTTACAGCAATGTCGGGGTTTTAAACCAACATCCTGTAACTGCAGCTCCTAAGCTAACGCTAGCTCAAATGTAAACAGGAACTTAATAAGAAGGTTAAGTAGGAACACGTTTTATCGCCATCCTACAGATAATAATGTGTTTATTAGTTTATTAGCTAATTAAAACTACAGTGCTGCTGTTCGTAAAAAGCAATGGATCAGTTGTAATATCCTTCTTCACCACAAGGGGCCCCTGCAGCCCATACAACCCCCACCCACTTCCTCTGCTAATAGTGCTTTTCTTGTTCACACCTGTTGTGGTTACTATTTAGTGTTCTGAATGGGAACAGCGTGGTGTTTTTGCAATTTCAACACCATCGGAATGCAGCAATGATTCATCATTACACAAGTTTTCAGTTACATGTTGCAGAAATAATCTCCTGCTGAATTCCCTGGCCTACGACATCGGTTTGCTGGTAATTAAGAACTTGTGGCTCAATAAAACTGGCAAACATACTGCAGCTGTAAATGCAACTAACATCACTCACATTTATTTAGAACTTCTGTACAACACAAGTGTGTTTTCAGTTGTAGCGTCAACGCAAAGACGTAAACGCTGGGACCACAGCAATCAAATGGTTGTTTGTTTACACTGACATGAAGGTTTGGTCCTTTAATATTTTCCAATGCTGCTGCAGAGGAGATCAGGAACCATTTTACATTAAACACATCTAGAAAAGTAGATTTTAAAGTTTGAAACTTGTTAAATAATAATCTGCAGGTGCTCTGTCAGCTCAGGTTGCAATGCATTATGGTCAGTAGTAGGGTTGCCACGGTATGAAAATGTAACCTCACGGTTATTGTGACCAAAACTATCACGGTTTTCGGTATTATCACGGAATTTTTTTAAATGTGTTACATTTTCAGACAACTAAATAAACCCTGTACATCAGGAAAATATTGTCCTCAGTTTGTGTCTAAATTTAACCTAAAATGTGTTATTTTGTAACAATGTTGTTTATTTGTTTACATTTTTTCCCTTTAGTCTTTAAAATACCAATATTTGCCCATAACTTCTTATTTTATGTCTGTTTGATATCATCATTTTAACAATATTAGATCAGATGATACTCAGTACTCAAGTAGCCTTCTAATCAGATACTTTTTTACCCTTACTTGAGTAATAAACCTTATATCAGGAAAATATTGTCCTCGGTTTGTGTCCTTCCAGTGAGCTTTGCAGATGTGGGAAAATGTCATCAGGCAGTAATCATTGTTAAATTCATAATTATTCTCGGAGAGAGACCAACTCTTATCTGCCCCTGGGAGCCCCGTAATGCATAGCGTCATTTCAATATGGCGGTGTCCGCGACACGGTTTATATGCAGGTAGCGGCGCTGCGGCTGCTTTATATAGCGACTCGTTGCATTCTCCCTCAACCCAAATCCTCGGATCACGCATTTTATCTAAAACGCTAACGTTAGCTTGCCTTGCGTTGACTGTAGAGTTGTGGGTGATGGTCACGCAGATGTGTCATGAGATTTGAAGCGTTGCTGCCTTTCACAGACACTTTTTCTGCACGTGCTGCAAACAGGATAGCCGTTTTCTATCAACTGTCCCTCGGCATTCTTCAAATATCCAAAAGATGCCCGTACTTCCCACTTTGTCTTCTTTGACGGATAATAAATGTCCTCCTGAGCGCTGCCGTCTCCTCCTTTGGCCATTATTTCAGCTTTAGCTTCAAGAAAGTTTTGGTTGTAAACAACAAAGCGCGCATGTGCCGCCGGCAACCTCAGCAGATGATACGGTGGCTGGTAAGGGTCACCGCGCCTACACCGCAGCCACGGTAATCCACCGAGATAATATAGTTTTTTAAAAACAAGACGGTTATTATTATTGTCAACTTTTTTACCGGGGTTTACCGCTACACCGGTTACCATGACAACCCTCGTCAGTAACAAGCAGGTCTGTTCTTTGCTTTTACTGTACCATGTGACCACCAGTTAGGCCAATGGGGCTGAATAATGGTGCAGATGGTGGCATGGCCTGGGTGTGTTGCTTACTTGAGACAGCAGGTACAGGGAAACCTGAGGGCTGATCTTCCGCTCTTCAGACTGAGAGAGAGAAAAAAAAGAGAATAAAAATGAGAAAATAATTTTTTTTAAAATCTGTTATATTTGTGTTGATTACATTTGCAGTGACTTCAGTTGTCATGGATGGCACTAGGAAACGACAGGAGACATCTGTACATGAACACACCAACAGGAACACAAGACTCCAGAGCTCTGCTCTTCTAAAACATCTGGAATGAAGTAGCTTAATAGAACATGTTTGTTTCATTATGAGGCTTCAGCTGAGATGAGGAAGTCTCATTTATTGTAATCCTCTCAAACACAATCAAAACAAACTGGAAGTCAGTTTTGTGTCATTTTAAAACAGATCTGTGTAATTACAGTTCCTGTGCGTTATGAGGGAACGGTAACTCGTGCACTAAAACCGTTTCTGGTGGGTTGCGTTTAAATCCAGATGTGTCCAGGTGTTTATGGGTGACCTACCGTCTCAGGACTAACCAGAGAGTAGACGTAGAGGGGCAGAAAGAGGCGATTGAGGAGGTGGTCGGTCAACACGTCGTTCAGGAACTCACAGTTGATGATGAGGATGTCATTCAGGTAGTGGAGATGGTCGAGGTGCTCGGCTACCAGGTCACTCAGCTTCCCTCTGTTCTTATGCCTGCAGCACGGCACACAAACATTCAACAGGTGTATCGTAACAACACCGGACTTTAATATTCTTACATTTATGGTCGATCAAACTTCCAAAACCTGAGACGACACTGCCCTCTAGAGGCTGCAATGAGGACGAGACCGAGAAAACTTACTCTTCATCCGTCTGCACACACTTGTCCAGCTCAATGACGTGGCTGCCGATAAACCAGACCAGGTTACTGAAATAAGGCACCGCCGTCTTGTCTCGGATGTAGTGCAGCATGTGCTGGTTGTCCACTGAAGAGAGGGGTCACCAGGAGAGATGTTTTAACACAGATGTTCACACACACACACACACACACAGTTACTCATGTGCACACACACTGTGTGGTACCCCGATAATCCCTAAAAGTGACAACTAAACAAGCAAAAAAATAACCATCCAAACAAAAAGCTTCTAAATCAAAAGGAAGAAACAACCGGTCCCTACAGCTCTAAAGACACAACAACAACCACTAAAGACCACATCCAGGTTTGTCCAACAGATTTTCAGTTTGTCATCAGAGTGATGTTTTTTAAGGTGTACTTTAACACCATCTTAGTAAATAGAATGTCTTTTTAAAAACACAAACTGAAAATCAGTCATACATGAATATTTTAAAGTGAATTTAACTCAACTTCACTTGCAGGTAAAAAACCAACAACTAAAAATTAACTTTTAAGTTGGATTAAGCAGAATTCACCATAAACTGATTTAAATTCAGATCTCATTGTTAAGACTCAAAAGGTAAGAACTGTGTATTTTTTATATGTGTACAAGTGATCGTCTTACCCTGAACTGTGATATAATTTAGGCAACACGCAAATTTTTTTGCCAAGACGTCTGCTTACGTAAGATGTCAATCCCAGAGCGTTTTACTTGACTGATTTAGCAACATTTCTTAAAGACAAATTAGTATTTAAAAATATATATACATGAATAAACATTATAACATGAGAACAATCATTCTAAAACAATGTGTTTTAGGTCTGCTGGCCGACTACAGGCGAGAGCGTTCAAGAACGAGAGGCGTTGCTTCTCCCAGCCGTTATCACGGAAGTAGGGGAGGGGCGTAAGGTGCAGTACGTGTTTCTGCCTCTAGATGGTGCCTTATGAGGAAAAAACTCAAGATTTCTGCTTTAACGGGTTCCATTGATCCTAGTTTAGCCTATCTTAACTCATTCACTGCCAGCCGTTTCCTGATAGGTAAAGCCCTTCGCTGCCAGCGTTTCTCACGGTTTTTACAGTTTTTTTAGAGTCCCAGAACGTTGCGCGCTAGGATGATGTCGATGCCAAAACAACCAAAAAAAGAGGAGACTAGCCTCTTACATCAGGAAGAATCTGTGCGTTTCCAGCTTTATCCGTTCTTTCATAATCCGTTGTTGAATTGTGATCGGCAGAAGCTTTTCCGGTTCGCGCCTCACTTTTTTTTTTTACAGCAGCGGCCGAAAACGATCTACTAACACATGGATTTTCAGCTTCCTGATCACATGACGTACGCAGATGAAGATCGGCTTCAGAGCTGAGATGTTTGTTCTCAAAGTGCGGGGGCTTGCTCCGATGCCCGAACAGTAAAAAAAACGCAAATGACGACTTTAGTCGTCAATGGCAGTGAATGAGTTAAAATTAGCCACAACCAAGGTCCTGTGCTAAAAAAAGAAAGTTTAACATTTTCTGGACTTTTTAAAACAGATCAGGCTCAAATCAATCTAACCCCAAATTCACAATGGAGGCATCAGTGCCGCAGAACGGCAGCAGTGCTTCGCTGCTTCAAATACAATCCATTATATTCTGTAGGGCACGTCCAACCAAGGGGAGACCCAGAACACGCTGGAGGGACAATGTTTCTGGGCTGGCCAGGGAACGCCTTGGGATTCCGGCTGGAGAAGCCGGCCCAAGCGGCTGGGGAGAGGGAAGTCTGAGCCTCTCTGCTTAGGCTGCTGCCCCCACTACTCGACCCTGGAAAGGTGGACAATAATGGATAAAATGGATATAGTCTATATGGGTGATCAAAACTAACGTGGAACACTTCAGGCGTGTCCCAGAAGTGGCTCGTCGCACCACTAAAGAGAAGACTGGGTTCTATTTTTGCCGTTAGCTGCTTCTGGTACACTGTTGATGTAGGGCTAGGCAGCAAATCACACACGGTTACGTCTGGTACTTTTCAAAAGAAAACACTAATGTAGCTATGCAATTTCATAGCTCTGTAGATTATGTCAATAAAAGTGACCAAACGGTTTATTTAATCCCACTTTCGAGAAGTGCAACTCAGTGTTTTTCATGGCTTTAATGCTGGAAGTGGCGAGAAACGACATTATATGACATCAAACAGCAACATCTGATGTGATTTCCTTCTTTTTGTTTTAATGTAAGTTGGCATAAACAAACCGTGTCCTTTGAGGGATTTTGTGATCTTGCAAGTCTGACGAGGTCACAGGACACTGGCCTAATCTGAATATATCTTTTTAGATGCTAATCTTTAATTTCAATTTTCAGCTAGAAATAAAACAAAAATATTTAATTCCAATTATATTGTACAACCCTGGTTTAAATCTTTAATTGTCTCCTGGTAATGAATAAAATCTGATAAAAAAGCACCAGAAAAGAGCAGAAAATCTGAAAAAGAATATGAAAATCAATCATTTAAATGAAGAAAATGAGCAGATCAGACCTCCACAGTCCAGTATTAATCCCGATTAACTCCACATTAGCCCTCTTCGTGGTATCTGTGGTCATAAATACTCAGAGGAAACATCCAGACTGAAACTGGATCAGAGTAAGCTAGAGCTCAGCTGAAATGCAGCATTTCAAACACACTAAACCAAGGAAATAAACTGGTGGCATGCAGGATTTTCTTTCTGCGTGTATGCAGGTGAGTGATGTGGGATTAATGATGTACAAGCATACAAAACCCCACAGATTAACAACAATTACACCATTAAAAAGAAGCAGGGCTGGGTATCAATGAGCAATTCTCTCCAATTAGAAGATTGTACAGGCTATTTAGGAGTACTATGGCATTTTCACATATGACCCGGTCCGGTCTTGGTTGGGTCGGGTCGGTTCACCCCTGCGCAGCCAGGCTTTGTTCACACAGCCTTCTCAGGATTGCAGATATCGCTGGTCATGTGGGCGGGGCAAAATAACTGAGGTGTCCTCAAACTTATAAACAAAAGCGGCCATGTTGCTTTACTCTGACATGAAGCACACAGCTTTCTACAGTCTCACTCAGTGCATTTACATGTGCATCAGAAAACTGAAGTATTGCCCTAAAAAGACTCACATCTGATTTTTAAATGCATGTAAACGTGTTAGTCTGGCTGATAACAGGCTGGGTCTAATCGAGCTGAAGCACCCAGATGATGCAGCAGCAATCCGAATACAATCTGAATGCAAACGGGCCAGCCGAACTAAACCGGTAGGACTCATGTTCCGGAAGTTTCGAGACTGCGGAAGCGTTCTTCTAACAAGACCATCGTCACAAAGCAACGTGCGTAACACTATAAAACAGGACAGTACGTACCAAACAAGCTGTGCTGTAGTGTTGGTTTTGTACATTTCTTCAGCCATCTTGCATATCCTGTTTCACTGCTTCACTCCCGCCAGCCTCTGTTTACTGCTTGTGTTGCTATAAGCTAAACGGAAGAATAGCAACATGGAAAGGGGCATGTCGCCACCTACTGTACCAGAGTGGAACAAACTTTATTTGAGAAGCCAGTTATCTAGTGCGCATGTAAACTAAGATGAAGACTCCCAGCTTATTACAATAAGATCGACCTGGATCGACTTAGAAGTCGTTCAGTGCGCATGTAACCGCACTGACGGTGCAGCAGAATGTCCTCACGCTGCTGCGGCAGGTCCAAGGTGCAGTCAGAGAAGATGTTTACCCCACTGCATCCAGACTGATACTGGATCATGCATGCGGAAAGCCGCCGCCGCCTAAAGCCTGGGGCACACTGGAAGCGGACGCGCCGTGCAGCGTTGCACCCGGGATTTTTAGAAGTCAAGCGGTCACACAGGATGCGCCGCTGAGCGCTTCTCGGAAAGATGCGCGATAGTCACAACATCACACAGGACTTGAAAACAGAAAGCGGGAAGTGACTCTATTGTTTATACGTGATCAGACTTGCCGTCGTGTTTTGAGACTCAAATTCATTAAAAATGGGTAAGTACACTATTCATTTCAATATTTTAGGACCAACAGTACTTTAAAGTTATCAAAACTGCGGCTGGGCTTGTGTCGTAAAGCCGTTCTGCGTCGTAATGTCTGCTGTAAAGTTCTCCAGTTTCGTAAACAGGGTTAAGGCTTGAGATGGAACCGGCACCTACCTTTAGCGCCTCGGCGCAGCGCTCCCCGTGTGCCCACTCTTATTAACTATAAAGGCTTCTATTTAAAATGACGGCGCGACACATCTGTCTCTGGTGTGCCCCAGACTTAACCGATCAGAGGCCCCTTCTAGTAGGTACGCCTGAACTTCAGCTGGTCAATCAGTCCGAGGTGGGTGTGTTGGGTTGGGTTGGCACGAAGCTGACCACTGGGGAGCAGGTTTGAAAAAACGGCTGGCTGAGCCCCGGAAACGCACAGATTACCCAGATGTGAACACTATTACCCTGCTAGGGCTGGGTCGGGCCGACCCAGATGTGAATGCGCCACTGGATTAACGTCTCAGCACGCTGCTCTGATACCCAGCCCTGAGAAATAGACTGAATGAATGAAATCAACTTACATGAAACTGTAGTTAGGCAGATGGGCGCGTAGAAGGAGAGAGAGAGAGGAGGAGGAGGAGTGGTTGGAGAGGGGGAAACAGACACAGGGTTAATGTGAGTAAGGGAGCGACTGGACGGGTGGAAGTTGGGGAAGATCCTGCAGGCAAATAAACTGCAAACAATGGCATACATGGAAAAGGAGTTTCAACAATACATTCAATTTCCTTTAGGACTGTGTTCTTGGGTTGTTTTTCATTTACTGCGTTGCAAATAAACAACAGCCACCTCACTTATACACGGTGCAGAATGAAACATTTTTCCAGGTCGTCATCTGTTGCAGTGCATGAGCAAGGAATCAGTAGGGAGCATCAAAACAAGCAACATGAAGCAGCAACAGACTGCAGTCCAACACAGCCACCGTAGCTTATATTTGAAGTTTTTCCTTTTATGGGAGGAAAACGTGATTTCTGATGTTGTTTAACATCGTGATCCTGACGGAGTTACTGTATTTATGTTTATGCATTTAGCAGATGCTTTTGTCTAAAGCGACTTAAGTGATGATGAAGCCAGCAGGCAGCCCTTGAGGCTAACAACAAAACAACTGATGTTTCCTTGTTCGACAGATCCTTGGTAAAACAGGGCGAGCAGCACATTCTCCACATCCCTAATCGATCAAATTTGGTTTGAGTTCAGCTTTAATGAAGGTTGAAGGTAACTGTTGGACAGAGGCCACATTTATGTGATGACAGAAACACACACTGTGTAGTAAAACCTTTGTCCTGAGGTAAATGCACGGCGATGTAAGTATGATGAAGATTATTCCCCAGAATGACCCGTTTCCTCGGGAGCTCAGAGAGGCTGACTGATCAGAACCCTGATATTTAATGCATACAGAGGTTTCCCTGCATTATTTTACCAAGGCGAGATGCCTGGATGGTTTTCTGGACCCCGAAGCCCCCCTGCTTGACACTCAGCAAATGGACTGGGGGGTTAAACCACCAAATGGTGGCACAGCTGTGTCTGCAGCTCACCGATCCCCCAGGGGATGGGTCAAATGTGTGTGTGACAACTGATGGCACTTTAACTTTAAACCCCGCCCCACTGCTGGAGAAGTCTCTCTGTCCCTCACCCACAGTGATGTGAGACGGCACTTGGGGGCGACAAATGGTCACAGGCATCAATATCGGCTCTTGTAGGGTCATAAAAGGAAAATAACCTAAATGTGCAGCTCTGTCAGTTGAACAACTGGGCTCAGTTCCGGTACTGTAGAGGTTGGAGTGTGACTGTTTAAAGGTGTGGACAGGTGTCTTTCATACAGACAATGAGATCAATTAACACAGCTGACGTGTGTGTGAGAGGCACAATTCTTGGTTGTTTGTAGGTGCTAAACACTTATTTTCTGCACCATTAAAAATCATACAGTGTTTTCCAGAATGATTTTACACCTATGATGAATATTAAAGATCCCTCTCTTCTTTAAGAGGGACAACTTGCACAATCAGTGGCTGCCAAACACTTTTCTGCTTTGCTCTACTCGGGGGATTACCACAACGGAAAAAGAGAAGCGGCATTGAACTGTTTAGGTCTTTTAGGAGAGAATGATCTCTTCTCTATACCGTATTTTCCGGAGTATAAGTCGCACCAGCCATAAAATGTATAATGAAGAAGAAAAAAACATTTATAAGTCGCACTGGACTACAAGTCGTATTTTGGGGGGAAATGTTATTATTTTTCTTACAAAATCTGAGACCAAGCGTTTCACATTGCAAGACAAGTACCGGTAACAATAACAGAGTAAGCAATCAGGGCGCAGCAGCGCGCCACGGTCTCCAGCAGAGGACGGCGGTGTTTGAAACCCTCCCAGCGGGGCAGAGGAGCTGAAACCTGGACCGGAGCCGGCCCGCAGCAAGTACACATAATTTGGTATATAAGTCGCAGGACCAGCCAGACTATGAAAAAAGTGCAACTTATAGTCTGGAAAATACGGTACTTAATAATCAATAGACAGCTCATCCATTTACTGATATTCTGATACTTTTGCTGGAGGTGGTCTTACAATTGGCCAAGTATGAAGCAGGTTTCTAATCCATATTCAAGTGTTGATCTGCTAATCTGAAATTACATTTAACCACAGATAAAAAGAAACAGTAACAAAGGCTGAAAAAGACTCCGCTGACTGCATTTGTTACGGCTTCACTCATGCAGCCGATTAATGAGCAGAAAGGAGGGAGCACAGTTGAAGGCGGTTTTACACCCCGGGTGTGCGTGTGCGTGTGTGTGTGTGTGTGTGTGTGTGTGTGTGTGTGTGTGTGTGTGTGTGTGTGTGTGTGTGCCACCAACACTCACTCACCTTTGTAGACGTTGAGCGTGATGGTGCGGACAGCGATGCGGACCATGCTTTCTGGGTGGTTGAAAAACTTAATGGCTTCGGTGTACAGGGCAAAGTCATTAGTGTGCTGTGTGTGGGGAGAGAGAGAGGAGGCGCCAGTGAGCAAGGCATCACACCGCCGTGCTCAGGCCACAAAGGACACCAGAGAGAAAAGGGACACAGGACAGTGCCATCCTTTCATAACAATCACTCCACTTTCACACATGTAACATTTTAAACAAACCTGAATAATAAAGTCATGTAATGGAAACAACAAACAGCCGTCTCTCTGTGTGTCTGGGCCTGATCCTCCACCCTGCATTTCCTCAGTTACTGAAACCCCCAAGTGGAGTTGAATTAATCACTCAGAAGTCACGGCAAAAGAAGAAATCTGATCCTGAAACCAAACTCAAACCAACAGCTCTGAGGTTATGCTGATGATACTAAGTTATATTTATCCATTAACCCTATTTACCTAATCGGTTAGGTAGATTACAGGCTTGTCTAGAAGATATCAAAAATAGGATGACTCCAATCCTTCTGCTTTTAAATCAGGGCAAGACTGAAGTTCTCATCTTTGGACCTTGGCATTAAATTAGTCTCGAGAACAAAGTAAGGAACCTTGGTGTTATCTTCGACCAGGACACGTCATTTCAAGTCCCACATTAAACAGGTTTGCAGGATTTCCTTCTTCCGCCGGGGACACACCGGCCGCGGAAGCGCCGAGAAGCGAATCGCTCACAAAATTCGGCAGCTGCTCGCCGCAGTCGAGGCACGCCTCTGCTCAGCTGTAGTTTTTCTTTTAAACACTTGGTGTCCTCCATTTCCTCTCTGCCTTTTCTCAGCTCTTTTCCTCTACGTTTGAGTGTGTGTGTGCGTGCGTGTGCATGCGTGCGTGCGTGCGTGCATGTGTGTGTGTGTGTGAACCTATGGTATGAGTTGTTTCGGACAGTTGAATCTCTTGGAACCCGCTCCAATTCTGCAGCTGCATCCTAGCAGTTTCTTTCGACATGGGTACGTAAATAATCATGTTTTTCGGGGGTCGTACAGCTCCTTGTGTTTCTCAAATTCCATAATTCATTTAAAGTCATCCATCTTAACTGCTTGCCTCAGACTTTCTGCCTCTCTGTCCTGTTTGCTCCGGTGAAAAGACACCCAAAACCACACACCCCTTCACGTGGTCACACACGCACACAAGCTCGATGTGTGTGTGTTCGTGTGGTTTTTCTGCAGTGTCTGATTACGAACACATTTGACTATTGCGGAATTTTATTTTGAAATGCTTTATTTTGTTAACTTTACCGGCCTGCCTCTTATGTCTAGGTTTGACTTCCTGCCAGAATTGACGCGATTCACCCGCGGCTCGCGAAAAAAATAGAGCCGACGCCGAAATGATCGCTGCACGGCGCGGGCTGGAGCGCGCCGGCGCGAGGCGATTCGCGGCGCTTCGGCGGCCCATGTGGTCTATAGAATAGCTTAACAAGGGCGCCGAATGAAGGCGGTCACATTTTAGCGGCGCTTCCGCGGCCAGTGTGTCCCCGGCGTTACACCTCCGGAATATTGCTGAGATTAGATGCATCTTTTCCATAAGTGATGCTGAAAAACTAGTTCATGCATTTATTACATCAAGACTGGATTACTGTAATTCTTTACTCTCAGGAAGTCCACAGAGTCTTCCGCTTGTCCAAAATGCTGCAGCTAGAATTAAAAAGAGAGATCATATCTCTCCTGACTTAGCTTCCCTACATTGGCTACCTGTTAAATTCAGAATAGATTTTAAGATCCTTCTTCTCACAAATAAAGCTTTTAATAATCAAGCTCCATCATACATCAGTGACCTGATTGTTCCATATGTTCCTAACCGAGCCCTTTGCTCTCAGACTGCAGGTTTACTGGTGGTTCCCAGAATATCTAAAATTAGGATGGGAGGCAGATCTTTTAGTTATCAGGCTCCTCTCCTGTGGAACCAGCTCCCAGCTTTAGTCCGTGAGGCAGACACCTTGTCTACTTTTAAGACTAGGATTAAAACATTTTTATTTGATAGGGCCTATGGTTAAAATCTGATGTTGGCCTAGATATGGACAAGTGGGGGAGTAGAGGGAGGTGGAGTGTACAGTCGGTAAAGACGGCTCTCCCTTGCCCTGCCTCCAACATGCCTCCATCTAAAACAGCTAGGTTATCTAGAGTTATCTCTGTAGTTATGCTGCTATAGGCTTAGACTGCTGGAGGATACACTGACCACTTCTCACACTCTACTACTTTCTTCTACTATCTGCTCTTTAACTGTATTATTTCCTGCTATTTCAGCTGCTAACTTTATTTTCTCTCTAAGTGTTTTTCTCCCCAGAAGAAGCTGCAATGATGTTCTGCTGAGCTGTGGTGGCCTCATGGAGGGGGCCATCGTCTAGCACACTGCTGCTAACCACTTAAACATTCTCCCTCTCTGGATAATAACCTTTTGCTTTCCTTGACATTGGATGTGCTACTATGTTTATGTTTATTCACTTAGCAGACGCTTTTATCCAAAGCGACTTACAATTTATAACCTATAGGGCATGTTGTGAACTGTGGGGAAAACCGGAGTACCCGGAGGAAACCCACGCATGCATGGGTAGAACGCGCAACTCCACGCAGAAAGGCCGCAGCAGAGTTTCGAACCTGCGACCTTCGTGCTGCGAGGCAACAGTGCTAACCACTGCGCCACCATGCACTACTAGTTTACCTGTTTAATTATAGATTCACTAGCATAAATACAATAAAGTTTATCTCTCGCCAAATAGAATATTTATTAAGAAATCACAATGTAACCATAGACACAATACGTGGTGTGTGTGTGTGTGTGGGTGCGTGCGTGCGTGTGTGTGTGTTCTGTCCTCTCGATCCCCAGTGAGTCATGGTGGATGACTGCTTATACTGAGCCAGGATCCTCTGGAGCAGGGGTGGGCAACTCCAGTCCTCGAGGGCCGGTATCCTGCATCTTTTTGTTACTTCCCAGTTCCAACACAGTTCATTCAGCAGCTCATCAAGCTCTGCAGAAGCAAGCTAATCTCCTGCTGATTGAAATCAGGTGTGTTGAAACAGGGAAAACAGTAAAACATGTGGGATAGTGGCCCTCGAGGACCAGGATTGCCTGCCCCGGCTCTGGAGGTTTCTTCCTGTTAAAAGGGAGTTTTCCTCTCCACTGTCGCTGCATGCTTGTTTAGTATGAGGATTGCTGTAAAGACTCTGAGACTAATCAGCGACTCGATGCAACCTGCTGGTTCCTTACATAGGAAACTTTTTACTAGTTGGCTTAATAATCTGAACTGTTTAGGAATGTTTATTATGTGAAGTGCCTTGAGACGACTCTTGTCATGAATTGGCGCTATATAAATAAACTGAAATGAACTGAATGATTCTAAAGCTGGCACTTGTGCTTTAATGGCAGCAGTAAAAAGTAAGTTAATGGCGCCATCTGGAGGACAGTAAGAATCAAGTTGGGATCTGATTTTAAACTAATTATAATAAACTGAACGTAACTAGTGATCAATGTCGTTGAAGAAAATTAAGATTGCAACAGAAAACGCTTGAAGACTGCCAGCCAAGTTACACCTTCCTTCATTTCTCCAACAACTTTTATGAAGTAGTTGGAGCCAGCAGAAACGTACAAAGATGGTCTGGTTTGGTTTCAGGAGCATTGATGCCATTAACAGTACACCGAAAGCTTTCCCCGGTGCACACAGACTGACAGAATGAGCTGAAAAACCCGAAGAGGGGGTCAGGATGATAAAGAGTTAGAATCTATAACCAGACATACAAACACATCACTAGAGATACTTTTAAACTTTAGAAAGTTAACTTCTCTGGAGCTCATCTGAGTCGTCGTGTGAGTTTGGCGGTAGTGCCTTAAAGCGGCAGTCTGGAATTTTCAGGAATTATGTACGACATTTGTAGAAACCTGTAAAAGTCTTAACCTGTGCTTATATAATGCAGGCAATATGACAGTTGTTTGTTTTTTGCTAAGCCCGCCCCCTGTCCAATAGAGCTCCCTGCTATTTGAACTGAGCGCCTCTCAGCATTAGCCAATAGCATTAGGCCCATCGCAAAGCACGTCAAAAATGGCGATAAATGTTTGGTTCAACATTTCCATCCGTGTCATACATCAACTTTTTGTAAACCAGCTCTGTTTTTTACGCTCTGTTTTTGACCAATCAAATGTAGCCCTTCTGATATGCAGCCAATCAGATGGGTCCGTTCACATAATACGCCCGGCCCCTACGTAGACCCTTTTGGAAAGCAACACACGAACATTAGCGGCGCCGTTCCCTTGTTCGTCATGCTGGCTCAGAGCAACGTACGCACTTTGCGCTGAGGTTTCTGGATTCAGCGCTGCTTTCAAACGTGAACGCGAGTCCGCTCTGTGTCGTTAATCATTTTTACCGGGCTGACTCCGACTCCTGTTATCCCGATGACGATAATATTTCGATATATTGTGCAGCCCTAATGTGATCACTTGTCTCGATTTTCTCCCACACCCACGTCCCTCTATGGCCTCACCTCATTGTAGAAAAAGTGCACCGTGTGGTTGTTCAGCTTGAGCGACAGCGTCTTGAGAAAGGAAATATAGTACGCCATGATCTCTTCATCTGAGAAGTCGAATTTGTGCACGATGATGGAGTTGACGTGGTTGTTTGACAACAGATAATCTGTGAACAGATGAGAGGATTACAAACGCGTCAAATGAAGGAAAACCATGTATAATAATAATAATAATAATAATAAAACATTTTATTTAAAAGCGCCTTTCAGGACACCCAAGGTCACTTTACACAAAACACATAATAAAATACAATAAAACAATAATAAAACCCAAAGAAGAAAAAACAGAGAGAAACATTTAAATAAAATCAGAGGTATCTATGCCAACCATGTAAATAACCCACATCAAACCCAAACTCATCATTTAGAAACACATTTTTAATCAGACGCTCTTTAGGACTCCTCAAACTGAAAAACAAACCTTATCAAAGACAAACACCTCAACACTCAGTCAACAGTTTCACCATCTGTTCTAAAAATAGCAACGGCTCTCCCCGGGTCTCTTAAGGCCCCGCTCTACTCAGGAAACGTCGCTGAATTTGACAGCAACGTATCTTTGGAGATGATGGTTTCCTAGCAACAAGACAGAACAAATCCAGAGCAAGCTTGTGTACAGAGAAGATGTTTACACTTGTGATTAGCGTTGCATTATTTATGAGACATATCTCAACATAAAATGTCCCGTTAAAGAACAGAGGAGTTAAATGACCTGTATTTTCCAGGTGTCCACTGGCTATCAGAGGGATTCGTGCATTTCACTAAAGAGTTTTATCCACATCTGTCCAGTAGCTCATGAGAGATGCACAACTTAACACACAAGCTCAGGCAAAAACATTATACTGTGACTAGAATCTACAGTATAACTCAATGCTATAATGAACGTGAGAGCATTTAAACAAAAATATGATGACAAAGGGTCAAAACCAATTGTAAGTGAGGAAATCTGTGATGAGTTAAAAACTGCACACTGTACAGATAAAATCAATCCAAAAGCAGAGATGCCACTGATTTAATCCGCTGCTGAAAACCTCGGGAATGTCTTAGCTGTTTTCCCCTCAAAACAAGAGATCAGAACCAAAATGACACAAAGACCCCCGCTGCTGTTACATTTGGCTCTTTCAGTGAGTTATTATCGTTACTCACATAGAGAAGTCTCATGGCTGATGTTTTCAAAAAGTATGTTGAGGGTCTGAAGCAGCTGAACACAGACGTAGCGACCAGATTTCTGACGTAGGATGTTTAAGAAGAAGACAAACATGTTCTTCTCCAGGAAAAAGCTGAAAACAAAAACAGGGAAGGGAAGAAAGGTCCAGGGAAACAGGAAAATGTTGTCTTATGCATGCAGACCTTTTCATACAAGCCTCAATCTTTACTTGGGTCAACAGATTTCACCTGGGTCCAAATTTGATTTTCAACTAATCATTTTATTCAGTTCAGAACATAAAAGGCGACCGCTGCAGTTGAGTGTTTTCACTTCCACGCTGACTCTGGCAGCTTTTCCTACGCAGCCTCTGTCTCCTTATGGTACCTTTTTAAGTTCAGGACATTATTCTTCTTATGTGTGAAAAAGGATATACTAGTACAGTGGCACAAGGTTTTTTTCCCTTCATTAGAGCTGCACTAATGATGGCTTTTTCTTTCCATTGTGCTCGTTTGTTCTTGTGTTGCAGACTTGGCTCAAAACAAAGACACTTAAAGTGAATTAAAACTTAGAAATCAGCTGTTCTGGAACCAAAAACTCAATTTTCACACTCAGACTTCACAAATAGTTTCGTTTCAAAGGTTCTTACGCCTTTGCATTAATCAAATTAAAGGTCGAAAACATCTGTACACATCTCGAACCTCTTATCTGTAATACTCTCCAAAGATGTAATCAAATGAACAGATGATGCTTCAGCTCCAGTGAATGATTCGGATACATAACAACAGCATGAAACTGCTGACTGGGACTCACTCAAACACTGAGCTGTCATTCTGGTCGCCCCAGATGAGGATCTCCGTGATGGTGCGGATGGTCTCGACCAGCAAGTTTCGGTTGTGGTCTGTCACCGTGGTGTTTTTGGTCAGAATGTGGTACATGTACCTGGTAAATGGGACATTTATGGGGGACAGGTTAGACACAAGACATTTCTCGTTCATTTTGAGCACTTTTTTCATACTTATCAGTAAAACTATAACCTGTAGTGCTGTAGAAACAAATCTAGAAGCTGTTGTAATGTTGGCAGAGGATGGTTCGGGGTCTTGCTAAACACCCACGCTTGACTAAGCCTCCGCCTCTGTGGTAGTCTTGCTTTGCAGAATGTTTGAAAACAGCTGTGTGCAGCCTTAAAGTGCGTAGTGTGTTGCTAATATTAAGAGACTGGCATTGACTTTATGGTTTCAAATGACAAGTATGCTAACTAGCATCTTTATCTCGCCAGCTACAACAAAAAATAACAGAGAAACAATGAATAGCTTCATTATTAATTAAAGACCGACTATATCTGCTTTCATACACTGTCGTGTTTTAGCCGTAAATAACTTAGCTAACGTCTGTGCCGTTTTTTACCAGTTACTAAAAGCTAAATTAGCCTACGTGACGCTAACTACTCACTTCAAATGGTCCAACGAATGGATGTTTTTCGCTTTTCCTTGTCCTCCAACCCAACTCCGCGACCGACCAAACATGGTTGTAGGTTTGAGAAAATATCTGTTCTAAAAAAAATTTAATTTTATAATCTGCATTTACCCATATCACCTATTTAGCCGATACCGATATCCTCTTAGCATACAGTGGGTGACAGGCGGATACGGCAGAAAGGTGAGCAGCTCTTTGGTATCTTGGTGTTTTCTGGGAATTGTTGTTCCGTCGTCATTAAACAGTCTCGAAATCAAACAACAAATGGGTGAATAAAAACTACATTTTCTTTTCGTTGATAGTGACGACTAAATCAAGCGACAGTAACTTCTTACGTACGCGTACTGACAGCTTTTCAGCCAATCAGAGTAGAGGCAGCTAGTTTGCGAGCCAATCACGTTTGAACAGTTCAGACGTCGCTTTGTGGTCAGCTCTTTCTGCAGGCAGTTGGCAAAAATGTAAAAAAAAAACAAAAAAAACAATGCGGCATATATCCGTGAAGACTTAGCGAAAACCAGCATGTGTGTATGACTATATATTTTGTTATGCATTTTGAAAATGTTCTAGCCCTAACAAGCTAATTTTAGTGTTTTTCGCCAGTCTGCGTGGTGTGAATTCCGCTAACGCAGATAACCAATGTCAAGTATGCGTCGAGCTAGCTAGCTAACACCATTTCAATCCTGACCGACTCCGACGGATATAATTAGCAATGAACGTGACGTTCATGGGTCTTCTTGCTTCCCCGTTGTTTTCCTGCGGACCGTATAGATAGACAAATCGCCTTTGAAAGGCATCCTCGTCACTGTTGCAAGTCGGGCCGAGAAGAAATGGACGCCCGAGTCTCTCCGACATAAACAGATCTCCTGGAGCACCATCGACAGCATCTAGTCCCGCACAAGACCCCGAAACGTGTCTTTCTGTTTTCTATGACACACCCAGTTTATGCCCAGCTGGATTCGGTGGAATCGCTTCTGGACGAGCTCCCATATATGTTGTATTTGGGCCTGTTTTTTGTCAACGTCCTCATCCTCTACTATGCCTTTCTGATGGAGTACATCGTGCTGAATGTGGGGATAGTGTTTCTGCCAGAGGACATGGACCAGGCGCTGGTGGACCTCGGGGTGCTGTCCGAGCCGGCCTCTGTGCCCTACGACGCAGACACGGAGCTGGATGTGTTCGAGGGGTATCTGGAATGACGAATCGAGGCGTGGACATGAAGAACCCTGTTAGAGGGGATGCAGACTCTCAGTCACATATAACGGTAAAAAGTAAGCAGTTCGCTTCTTTTGGGGGGTTTAAATACAATGGATAAAGCCAGCCTCCACTCGCCGATTCACGGTAAAGTGAGCCCTCACTTGATTTTGCTAGGCGCTTGCGTTCACAGCTTTACGGTAAAAGCTCGGGCCACTGTTTTTCAAAATAGAAGCCCATCTCAGAAATGTATTTTCTGTCTGCTTATATGAAAAAGACTTAAATGGAATTCAAAAGTTACTAAATTTTATTTATATCGCCATTTTAACCACTGTTTTTCAAACTAAAAGCCCATATCAGACACTTAATTTCTGTCTGATAGTTTAAAAAACGTACACAATGGAATTCAAAAGTGACAAAATTACATTTATTTAGCCATTTTAACAAGTTTTTCAAAATAAAAGACCATCTCAGAAACGTGACTGATTTTTTTTTACTTTAAAAATGGAATTTAAATGTAAACAAAATTATAGTTATATCACCATTTAAATCAGTTTTTTAAATGAAAGCCCATAATCAGAAACCTATTTTCTGTCTGATTATTTTTAAAACTTAAAAAATGGAATTCAAAAGTTACCAAATTATAGTCATATCGCCATTTTAACAGATATTACAAATGGTGGAAATGCCTAAAAAAGGACTGTGACAATCCTTTTTAAACATGTTTCTCTATAAGTCCATAGTGATTTGATACTATATTACAATTCGATGACCTCTCGTTTTTCCCGTGAAACTTCATAGAAAAGCTTATTTTTATTAATAATGCTTCCAAAAACCTACACATGTTACATAGAAACAAAAGTGACAACATTATATTATATATATATATATATATACATACTTGCAGCAGTGACAAGGCACAGTTTAAATACTTGGATCAATACCAGAGGCGGCACTGGACCAAGGGGGGGGGGGGGGGGGGGGGGCATCTACACAAATGATGGCCACCTCATTCCCCCTACAGCCAGTTTTATAATACATTATCAAGTTCACCACAAAATCCACTTTTATTTACAGTTTTTCCAGACTTCTGTATTCTATTATTTAAAAAAGTTTAGTCTAAAAATTAAAAATAGGAAAATTCTAATTTAAAAAGATTTTTCACACGGCTCTGAGCTTTTCACTGGGCTTTAACTAGTGGGGGGTACAAAACTCCAAGAAAACCTAGTTTATTTAGTTGGAATTACAATAAAATATTAATTATGACACATTTTGTGTCAAAATTGCAAACAATAACAGTTCTTATTCCAATGTAGTGGCAAGGTGTCGTAATTATGTTATTTGTTCGCTATTCGTTGTCTAAAAAATTTCACACTTAGACGTCTTTTTTTTTGTTTCTAGTCATTCACGGTTTAGTCTCACAAGTCAGCAAACTCTCCTAAGTGTCTGGGTAAGGGGTCACAATCCGGACAGAACTCTGCGACTGACTTGATGAAGAATTTATTTAAATTGTTTGAACATGTTGATGCTTCCAACAACTCTAGAGTCGTGTCGTCCCACAGGAGGAATTTGAGAGCCTTCGCAAATGATTTGGGACGTTTTTAGAAACTCCCTCTTGAGTGCTTCACAGCCAAGGAAGAAGCTGAGATTAAAACAAGAAATGGCACCAATGTTGACTTAAAGTTAGTGTGTAGTTTCCTGGCTCTAGGGGGCAGTACATACACACATTTTAGAGTAGCTTTACACCAAATTGTCATGACTGTTCCTAGTTTAATAAAACATTACAGTAAATGTTGAAACCACGGCGTGACTTCCCAGACTTTGATGGTCCTTCAGGAAATTCCATCGAGACAATGCAAAGCTGATGGCAGTTTCCTGGCGCTGTACTTTCCAGATCTGCTCGAGGTCCTGCGCCTGCCGATGATGTCATCATACTGCGGCAATAGGTAGCCTAAGTCACGTCCATCTCCTTCTGGACCACGGGTCCAAGGAAGAACGAAAAAATGAATGCAAGTCAATGGGGCTAAAAGCACTATTTTATAATTCTGCTTGTTTTGTGCCGTGGGTTTCACATATGATGTCTGTGAATTTTAAACACACATTTTGATACCAAGAACACGCTTATTTTCAGGGGGGGGGGGGGGGGGCAGGAGGAGGCAATCGCTATTTTAGGTTTTGTGTGAAAATAAGTCCAGGACTACAAATGCGCTTCACGAAAGTGACGTCATCGAACCAGACACTGAGATAATTGAGGGAAAATGGCTGTAAGTTCAGCTAACGTCCCACAGGAGGAAAGAACCACCATAAATCTGGTCATGTGGTAAGTAGCAGCTACGTTAGGGTAGAGGAGATTATGTGGTGACGTCACATATACGACATGCCGATTTCTGGTGTGTAGTCATGCTAATTACAAACTTTTACAAGCTGATAAATCTCAAAGTATGTGACTGGCGTGGTTGAAACACCCATCATTTCTTTTCATTTAAATTGCAGTACAACATGTGTGTGATCCAGGGCGTAAGGCAAAGCGGATTAGAAAATAGCGTTTTTAGCCCCGTTGACTTGCATTCATTTTTTTATTCTTCCGGGGACCCAGGAGCCGACTGGAAGGGGAGGAGACTTAGGCTCCCTGTACCACTCTGCCAAAACAAATTGTATCTCCTTAGATTGTTTCGGAAAGAGTCCAGCAGTTTTGTTATTAAGTTCGTGTTTCTTGCTACCTAAATGTTTTTGAACATAAGTCCCTTAAGTCTTATATCCAGCCAGTCATCTTGTGACGTCATAGACAGGCGCAGGACCCCGAGTTGGCCAAAAGGAAACATGGCGTCCACCTAAGACGTTAGATCCTATGTACTTTAGACCGGATTTTTATGGTTATATGCAGTGATGGGAGTAACGCCGTTTAAGTATAACGGCGTTACTAACGGCGTTCATTTTTAGGTAACGGAATAATCTAATTAATTACTTTTCCCACTGTTGCAATGCCGTTACCGTTACTGGGGACGGAATGTTGTGCGTTACTATGTGCTTGTCGAACGTTGAGCAACAGCGTGAGGCTTTCTGACCGCCACACTTCAGCTGCAGCCAGGGAGAGAGAGATGTCGGTAACGCACTTACAAACACGATGATGATTGGCCGGGTGGGCGGAGACCCTCAGTGTTCTCACTGTCTCTGTCACTGCCTGCTGTAGACCCAACAGAGCAGTGATGGGAATAACGCCGTTTAAAATAACCACGTTAATTAAAAAAAACGTTTCTTTCATTAACGAGCAAACTAATTAATTACCGTCTTCTTTTAACAAAACGATAGTTTCTGTTACTGATAAGGAAATGTGTGCGTTAAGCAGCGCGGTGTGTTGAAGCTGTCATCAGCTGATCAGGAGCTAAAGAGGTAGATGTTTTCATCCAAGCGCATCATGGCCCGTGAAGAACGAGGAAGACATGATGAATAGTCTACGGCTGCAGGTGTGGATCTGCAGCCGCGAATCTGCGGGTCTGCAGCCGTGCCCTTCTTAGCGTGACAGCGGGACGTCCCGAAGGTCCGCTCACCTGTTCACCGCTCAGACATCCTGACCTTCTACCTTCCTAGATCATCCAGCTGTAACCTGTTCCTGATCATGTCTTTAGTCCCGCTGTAACGCTGACGCATCAGTCTCAGCCGTCATGGAGCTCAGGTGTTATTAGAACCACCTGTGTTTGTTTACCACCCAGCTTCAGCTCTTCTGTGGTTGGGTCTGACCCACGTTAGTACATTTAAGTCCTCCATTAGGCTTGTGCCTCTTCTAGTGTCATTTTAAAGGATTTTATTTATTTATTTAACCGTTACTAGATTACTAGCAACAGAAATGCTACTAAAAACACACAATTATGTGAAGCTGTAAAAGTTAAAATACTGTGCAAAATTACATTTATTTCTGTAATTTAAGTAGACTGAGAGACCATTTAAAGGCTCGGGAACCTTTACAGGTGTTTCTGTTTGCAATTTTAAATTTTAGCTGATTGGGGTCTTGTTAAATATCACACAGTGACCTTTTAATTGTCTAGATAAGTGTAATGTTCCTGTTAGTAGTTCCTCCTGTTAAGTGCTTATTTATTTAAATTATCCAGGTTTATAAAAAACATTTGGACATACATTTTATTTTGTTCCAGTCATTAGTCATTTATATTTCACTATTGTAGTCATTTATAGTAAATTAAGTAAGTTCAATTAACCCATTTTTCTTGCATTCCTTAATGAAAAAGTAACTAAGTAGTTATTTTTCTTGATAATTCGTTACTTTTATAATCTCGTAACTCAGTAACTGAGTTACTTTTTTGACAAAGTAATTAGTAACTATAACTAATTACTTTTTAAAAGTAACTTTCCCAACACTGGTTATATGTTACGAAGCCACCAATGATTTTCAGCGACTGGACACCATTTTATTCCTTTTCGACAACATTTTGATGGATACTTCCAGAGATTAACGGTAAAAATAAACATTGTGCTCTTTAAATCCAAAGCTGATTGCAATTTTTGACACAGCTGCTACAAACTCCTAAACAGCATTTGTTTTTGGTGCGACCTCACTTATCCATCCGTTTGGAGACGTCTTTGGTCCATATGTTTTTATGCCCTGGCATGAATTCAAACATGTTTTGTCGCTGTTCTCAGGTTGTGTCGTCACAAAGAGCTGACCCGAGGAAGGTCGACCGTCCCAATGGGGACAAAGGACTATCACAGCTGTGGTGTTACCGACTCTTATTTGGGACAAAAGGAGCAACTATGTGCTGCACGACTCTAAAGTGTTTCCCGTAATTTGAGGGATGCGTTATGCTTCTCATCCAGCTGCCCGGCATTTACACCAAAAAGCTTTCCAGGCTATGTTGGACTTGGCAGCAAGCTCCACAGACTCATCAGAACTTGTCTCTTGTGTTCCAGTGTCCTGAGACTTTAGGGAAGAACGGGAAGACAACATCCCCTGTAAGCATGTGGCACTCCGACAACAGCTTGTTTTTATATTTGGACTCTGAACGCAAGCTCGCACATCCTTGAGGCTTAAATCAGAAAGTCTTTTGAGGTTCTCCATAATGAATTTCAGCTCTCAGTAGCAATGGCAGGACAGGATATCACTGGAGATGGAAAGGAATTGAACTTTTCTAATTTGCAGCAAGTTATCAGCCAAATATATTGATATATTTTTCTTAATAAATTATTTTTGGCAAATTAGGACAAACAATTTTGTGGAAAACCTCAAAAGACGTGCATGAGATTTCTAAAAATGCAAATTTTTCTGTCGGTTTTACATGATTTATGACTGAGAGACTCAGTGCATGATGTTTTTACATAGTTAAAGCATAAGCTCTGAACAGCAATAAGAAATGTAAGATGGGTGATCAGATAATAAGGAGACCTCTCACATTTAATGACTGAATGGATCCTTTTTGGGTTTGAATGTACTGGACATGCTGCAGGTCTAGGCAGAGGACGTACAGCCTGACTGAAAACCTGTTTTTAAACAGTATTTTCTTTCTTTACACTCAATATGCTGAATGCTCTGGACATTGTTTTGGTTTTAATTCAAGAAATTGAATATTTACACATGCATGTTTCACTCTGAAGCTCTAGGTCCAAAATTTCCTTGCCTGACTCCATTATTATTATTATTATTATTTTTTTGGTCAAACGTTTTAATCTTTCTTTGGATTTAAAACCTACTCAGCTGAGAGGGCAACCAGAAAGTAATCCAGTGTAATGTGATGTTCAAATGTTGTTTAAGGCAAGAATATTGACGTATAAAGTTCCTGATACCAAACTGTTACCATAGTTTTATACATTTAAACAATCAAAACACTAAAAGCTGTTTTGTTTTATTTCAAAATGCCATGAAGCAACATTTTTTATAACAAATTTTTGCAATTTTTTTGGGCACGATAAAAGTTGCTCGCAAAATAAATGCTCAGGATACTGCTTATTAATTATTGTAAATTTGTAGAGTTTGATCAGAAAGTTATGTAAATGGTTCTAATTGGTCAATAGTTTTTGCATATTTTTGTTAATAGATTGACTAAATGCGTAACATGTTATTTTTATTATTAGTGGCCGTTTCAGACGTTCGTCTGCAAACTAATACGAACATTTTAAAGTCAAACCTGGGTTTTGGATAAAATGTGAAAAAAATGCATTTTACAAGGAAACAATACATTAAAGTAGAAACATTTATTTTGAATTGATGTCAACAAAAAGTTGCAATGTGAAATTACAAAGTAGCATCATTTTTGGTTATTTTACAGTTTAAATCTTTAGAATTTTGTGTTTATTGACTCCGAACTGCAGTCACGTCCACATCTACACTGTAGCAGCTGTATCCATTCGCTGAACCTTGTGCCAGTTTTATTTTCTGATCCGTATTTAATAAACTTTGAGTGCCACCCATTGGTCCCTCAGTGACTCCACTGTAAATAAATGTTCTCATGTTGTTGCTGTTACTTGATTCGGTCACAAGAGGAAGCCGGTGGACCACAATGGTTCTAGTGGCAATGCAGAAAATACATGGCATGATGTTTTATGAGTGGAAATTCAAACAAAATTATTTTGAACATAATTCATTCCACAGATTAGTGCAATCATTATTATTATTTTACAAAAGAGGTATTTAGAATCATCCAGGATGCTATCGTTGGTTAACAACAATAATTTGATTTGATTATAAATGAGTGCATTAAAATTTTGGGTGTAATGCTTGAAAAACAAGACGGGTAAGTCGTTTAACCGCGAGGAAGCTCAAACATCTCCGTGTTCAGAAAGGTCAGTCTGTGTAAACGGGAACAGAAAACTACAGCGGGAGGAAGTGAAAAGTGGGGGGCTGTGGGTGTTAATAAAGCAACTGGTGTGGTGGAAACAAAATAAACGTGTGACAGAAACATAAAAAAATTAGGTTTATATAAAAAAGTATCAAGTGAGAAGAAGTCCATTTTAGAGCCAGAAATATGTTCACACATCACAGCAAGTCTTTATACATTATCTACAACTAGACGTGTTAATTAAAATCTAAGTTATTGTGCAAATTTGCCTCTTAAGTTTATATAAAACACACTCGGATAGCAGCTCTGTGAATCTGCTCATAGCTCTAATAAAACAGGCAAAATCAACCTGATGAGTGAAGCAGCGACTGCTCGTCGTAGTGCAATCTCTCTCTGTGCGCATGTCACAGTGCACGGGCTTCAGAACACCCAGCGTGTAGTGTTCACACGCATGCATCAGATCCTAGATTCATGCAAAGGCAGAGAAAGGTCTTAATGCCAAAGGATGCGGCTATCCTGCTGCTGAAGTCTCTCGAACATGCCGTAAGGAATACACTGGTTCCACATCCTGCAGTGAGACGAGGCAGAGCGAGTCAGCAAAAGACAGAGAGATTTATTATCAGGAAACAGGACCAAACAGCTCACCTCAATGTCTTCATTTTTGTGCAGTTTTTCAAACTTGCTCCCAGAATCTGAGCACCAACGTCTGTCATCTTGTTGTACTTCACACTGTTGGACACGACGACAGGAAAAGTGGGCTTTTCGTGCAACTTCTGTTGTTTTTGTATTAAGGTTGAATAAAAACTGTAACGCCAGCATAAATGTACTGCAGCGTGATTGATCTGCAGTGCTGTAAAAATGCATTTAATGTCATTACAGCGCTGCAATGTCAAATCTGCAAAACAAGTTCGCTTAAAACATTTTAATGCCTCTTAGCGTCTAAAAACCTCAGCCAATAACACGGCTCAGTCAGAAAGCAATTGACTGTGTCAAAAACAAAGCACCACACTTCTGTATTTATTTGGTGAGAGGTTCTCCGCTCAATAAAGTCAGAGAAGGAGAAACAGCCGGCTGCTACCACTTCCGACTTTAGGACAAACTACCAGAGTCCCAAAAAGAAAAACACCAGTTGAAGTCACGGACAACAAAAAACATATGGATGTAGAAAAGGGCAACTGGTGTTCATCACTCTCTTGTTTACTCTGGAAAAGTAATCCCATATCGGGGGACGTGGTAGCCGACGGGAGGGGTGAGAGTTCCGAGACCGTGTTTAAAAGCTAGCTTTGCAGATTAGCCACTGCGGCTTTAATTGTGATTAACTATATTATTTGGAAGTGTGAGAAGCCCCACCCAGACCCAGTTACTATCAGACCTCTAGAAGAAAGAAATCGCTTTAATAGAACTTGTCTGACAACATGAAGTTGGCTAAAACACCTCAAAAAGCACAACATCATGCAATGCTCCAGTGGTGTCTAATTGTAGTCTCTAGCCAAACCGTAGCAGCAGCAACATATTTTGCTCTGCAGGTTGATTTAATCACAGTCATAGTAGCCTCAGCAGGTCAACCATTGGCTTAGCTAATAGCAAGTCGGGCCACTCACAGCGCAGTCTGTTGGCGGGCTTAGCGCCTTAATGGTAGAACTTTATTTCTTTTGCGATGACAGCAGAGCTGCGACAGACGGAGCAACAATGATAGCGGTGGCTCTGGACTTTGAACAATTTAGACTTGGGGTTTTCTTTATAACACAAGAAGTACTTCCTCTACAGCATATAGCAGACTGTCCCGCTGACTGATTTCACTGCTCTGATAGATCCTAGCGCAGACTGTTTAAAAGACAAGCCTGTGAGTCTGCCAATATGAATGAGATCTGTCTATGAGACGTGGATGGCTCACCAGGCTAGTCCAACAAATTTTAGAGGTTTTTTCTGCATCAACACACCTGATTTTAACCCATGGGAGATTAACAGGCTTCTGCAGAGCTTGATAACCTGCTTAACAGGTGATTCAACCATTGAATCAGGGAAACAGCTAAAACATGATGAACGGTGGCCCTTAAGAACCAGGGTTGGATGTGACTACCCTGTTCTGAAGGAATTCAAGAACCAAAAGAATCCTGACCAACATCTAAAACATTGCCTTTCTCATTTGATTTGAGCTAAGGTCAGAGGTCATGATTGAAGAGTTTGAAGACTGAAATTTATACTGACCAAAAACAACACAAAAGACTTTAGAGTAAATATTCTGTGGCCTGACGAGACTAAAGCAGACCTTTCTGGAAGATGTGTGTCCCGTTCTATCTGGAGTAAAACTAACACTGCACTTTAGAAGAACTCCATAGCAGCAGCCCAACATGGGAGTGGTAGTGTGATGGTTTGGGGACGCTTAGAATCTTTTTGCTTCCTCAGAAACATGAATGTTGGATCAGAAAATCCTGAACAACACGAGGGACTCACTACCACTTATGAATACAGACCAGATGGCCAGACTATATATTTGCATGTAAAGGATGGCTTGCCGGGCTAGAAATTGTTTTTTGATCTGAAAAATCCAAGTGTGACAAAAAATAGAGGAAATAGTCATAAACTCACTCAAGCTCTGTGAGAGACGCCATGTGTGGGAGGACAGCTGCTAAACACTCTGCACCTTCGTCAGAAATCACATTGCTGTAAAGACTGTAGAAGAAACAAAAAGTGAAATTAGGCGCCTTTTCTCGAAGGATACCACTTATAGTTGCTGTGTAGGCATGTGTGTAAAATGAACCTTAAACAGTGGAGTTTGGGTAGCTCTTTAAATGTGAGTGCTAGCTTCTTCACTCCTTCATCTCCTATACAATTCTGCGACAGACTGAAACAAAAAGTGAGAAAATGTTTCATTAATTACATAAAAATAAAGATGAAGATGTGTTTAACAGAAGGAGGAAAAGATCAGCGTAAACTCACTTTAGTATCTCCAGAGAGCTCAGAGTAACTAATGCATCGGCCAGTTTCTCTGCTCCTTTGTCCCCAATCTTACTCTTCTCTAGACTGAAGAATGCAAATATTAATGCCAGTTTTACAAAGGCACAATGTTTTACTGTTTATTAAAATGAAAAGTAAAGTTGTGAGCACTCACTCAAGGTGCTGCAGGTTTTGTAGTCCCGGCAGAAGGTCCCAAAGCTTGGGGAGAACCAATGGGCCGTTTTCTGGGCCAAGCCTGGGGGAAGAAGGATGATCAGACACTAGAATAGCACAGCTCCATTAGAAGTCTGGAAGTCTTCTAGACAGCTTTTCTTTTGTAAAAAACATAAACGATTACTTGGTAATTTCAGACTTTTTGGTCATATAATACATAAATCTCGTTCCGTCTCGTCTTCTTCCGCCTATCTGGGTCCGGGTCGCGGGGGTAGCATCCTAACTAAGGAGTTCCAGGCTGTCCTCTCCCCAGCCACCTCCACCAGCTCCTCCAGCAGGACCCCAAGGCGTTCCTGGGCCAGTTTGGAGATATACTTTCTCCAACGTGTCCTGGGTCGACCAGGGGGCCTCTTGCCGATAGGATGTGCCTGAAACACCTCCGTGGGCAGGCGTCCAGGAGGCATCCTAACAAGATGCCCAAATCACCTCAACCGACTCCTCTTGATATGGAGGAGCAGCGGCTCTACTCCGAGTCTCTCCCGAATGTCCGAGCTCCTCACCCTATCCCCTAAGGCTGAGCCCGGCCTCCCCACGGAGAAAACTCATTTTGGCCGCTTGTATCTACGATTTTCTTCTTTCGGTCATTACCCAAAGCTCATGACCATAGGTGAGTATTGGGTGGTAGATCGACTGGTAAATTGAGAGCCTTGCTTTCCGGCTCAGCTCCTTCTTCACTACAACAGAATGGATCAGCGTCTGCATCACTGCAGATGCTGCCCCAGTCTGCCTGTTGATCTCCCGCTCCCTCCTTCCCTCACTCATGAACAAGACCCCGAGATACTTGAACTCCTCCACTTGAGGCAGGACCTCTCTCCCAACCCCGAGTTGGTAAGCTGCCCTTTTCTGGTCAAGAACCATGGTCTCAGACTTGGAGGTGCTGATCCTCCTCCCAGCCGCTTCACACTCGGCTGCGCACCTCTCCAGTAAGAGCTGTAGGTCAGAGCCTGATGAAGCTAGGAGGACCACATCATCTGCATAAAGCAGAGAGGAGATTCTCCTGCCACCAAACTCCACACCCTCAACACCACGGCTGCGCCTAGAAATTGTGTCCATAAACGTTATGAACAGGAGTAGTGACAAAGGGCAGCCCTGGCGGAATCCAATCCTCACTGGGAACAGGTCCAACTAACTGCCGGCAATGCAGACCAAACTCACACTCCTCTGGTACAGGGACTGAATAGCCCTTAGCAAAATACCATCCGCCCCATACTCCTGGAGTGCCTTCCACAGGGTGCCTCTGGGGACACAAGCCTTCTCCAAATCCACAAAACACATGTGGATTGGTTGGGCAAACTCCTATGAACCCTCCATCACCCTAGCAAGGGTAAGGAGTTAGTCCACAGTTCCACGGCCAGGACGAAAACCACATTGCTCCTCCTCTATCTGAGATTCAACTATCGACTGGACCCTCCTCTCCAGTACCTTGGAGTAGACCTTTCCCGGGAGGCTGAGGAGTGTTATCCCCCTATAGTTGGAACACATCCTCTGGTCCCCCTTTATAAAAACTGGGACCACCACCCCGGTCTGCCACTCCACAGGAACTGCCCCTGATGACCACCCAATGTTGCAGAGACGTGTCAACCAAGACAGTCCTACAACACCCAAAGCCTTGAGATACCCAGGTAAACCGTGAATACAAAATGAGTTTCCTTAAGGGAGTGGCCAAACTCAGTCTTAGAGATTGTGTGAGGAGCTTCAAAATTTAGGAAAGACTTGGGAGTGGCTGCTGCTCCTCCCCATGGAGAGGAGCCAGTTGAGGCAGGACACACTAGAGGGATATCTTCATGTTGGCCAGGTTACACCTTGAGGTCAGACTGGTTGAGCTGGTGAATGTTGCTGGGGAAAGCATGTTTTAGGCCTCTCTGCTAGGACTTGCTACCCATGTGACCCAGATAAGTGGGCAACTATATATGAATGAATGTTTAAAAATGTGAAAGTTGTTCACATGTTGCAGAACCTGAGTAAACTTTCTAAAAGCCAACTATAGGACTAAAACTCTGGATGCTCAGCGCTGATTGGCTCGGTTAGAATTCTCAGGGGGTGGGGCTATTTGAAAAGGAGAGTTCCCAGACCCTTTCTCTGTGCAGAATTAAACAGAGGAGGAGTCTGGCAGGCCAGGCTAAGACAACATAGCCCCTGTCTTTCAGATATGAATGGGACCAGGCAAGGACTGTACCGGATAGTCCCACCCAGTTTGTGAGCCTATCAAGGAGTATGTTGTGGTCCACAGTAGCAGAAAATGTTTACAGAAACACGACTTCAAGGACGCCATCAGGACTTTAACAATCACCTGAGAATTTCATCCTCACTTCCTGGTTCATTTTTTACTTTCCCCACTCAATTTTAATCTCTGTATTTTATTTCCTCCCAAAAATAACACGCAACAATGTATTTCCCATTGAAAATGAATACAGCTACAAAGTATTTCCCCCTGCGGTTACAGCTACTTACTCAAATTCCAGTTTGAGCAACTCCCTAACTGCTGGCACCCCGTCTGCCAAGAAGGAATCTGATTGGCTGGAGCTGCAGAGGAGCAAAACAGCTTTTTCGGTAAACAAATACAGCAAAAAATAAATAAAAAACCACTCTCTCTGCATGTGACTAGTCTCACCTCGCTGACAGCTTCTTACGCACATGTATGCTGACCAGTTTTTCCAGGTGCTCAATGTGACACACTTGTGTAGCTTTCAGAGGATGGATTTTGAACTTGGACACTGCTCCTTGTAGGAATTCGTCTTCACCGCTCTGCTTCAGCTGCTCCCAGAGGGTGATGACATCAGCAATGCACGCCCTACGAAACACACCAACACTGGGCTTTAGAGGAAGCATTTTAGCTCATGCAACCTTTTATGTGACCAATCAAAGGTTTTCACTTGTATCGGTCATCTGCAGTGAGACGTGATGAGTGATCAGTCTAAGACTGGAACTCAATGGATGCTTAAAGTTAGTAATTCACATCAGGAACAGCTTGTCATAGCAGCCCGTAAAGGCTGAGAGAAACCGTGAAGCCTTGTGCTGGAATGTTGGTGGGGAGCCTTTGGGTCTTCACATTCATGTGCATCTTTCTTAGATATTTAGCTAGGATATATGAACAAATGAACATAGACATTCACTTTCACTGTATGGGTTTTGGCTTCTGAGAGGAAAACCTTAGTTTGAGGCAGGAAACATCTTCTCAGATGATAAGAAACCAGAATGTTTTCAGCAAAATGGTCTAAACTTTGTAACACTGAACATTTATGGCATTTATGATTCTTGAGAATGTTTTATGTTAGTATTTAGCAAACTAACTTAAAGAGCAAGTCACCCCCTACCAGAGTCTAACTCCACTCCCACTTCATGTTTGAAAAATGCAACACATGCTGTTGCCTGGCAGACCGAGAGGGCGGAGCCGCTAACAAATACACACACACTCAGGCTCACGACAGCATTGTGACATCATGATGTACCAGTTTACATCATAGCATACTTCTTAGCCAATAGCGTGGCAGATTTAAATTAAAATACAGTGCAGAGTTTTTACCTGACAACGGCACAACACTGCCAGTTTTAGGCAGAATATTTAAATTTTAACTAAGATGCACTGAAGTGCCAAATTATTGACGACACGTGTCTGCAGCACAATTAGATACTCGTTTATTTAGTTTATCAGCAAAAAAAAGTTTATTTGGGGGTGACTTGCTCTTTAAGCATGGGCTGCAGCTACTGACAACAAATTACAATTGGGGATTTCTAATATGTCAAGATGTTCCTGAGAGTTTTCATTTTCTCAAGTAAGTTGCGAGGCTTCGTTGTTAAGCTGACTTCCAGTCAACTGCATGACAAACGTTAATAATGATAATAATAATAATAATAATAATAATAATGCATTGAACTTATATAGCGCTTTTCTAGACCCCCAAAGACGCTTTCACACACTCTCACATTCACACACTGCTAGTGATGGTAAGCTACTTGTAGCCACAGCCGCCCTGGGGAGGTCTGACAGAGGCGAGGCTGCCATTTGGCGCCGTCGGCCCCTCTGACCACCACTAAAACAGGCAAGTTGGGTGAAGTGTCTTGCCCAAGGACACAACAGCAGGATACCCCTGGCGGGAGCTGGATTCAAACCCGTGACCCTCCGATCATGAGGCAACCCGCTCTACCACCTGAGCTACTGCTGCCCACGTTCTCTCAGAATAACCAAAGACAGTCTCGAACTCTTCTCAGTTTCGTTTTTGTGAGTCTAACCAAGACCATGTACACTTGTAGCCCACAAAACAAAGATATTTTTGAACTGTTTGGCCTGTCATCCACATGAAAGTGAAGGTATACGGCACCAACAACGATTCTTTCAAAAACTCTGATCAAAGTGAAGATTTGCAAATTCTCTGTTGTCAGCATTTGCTTGTGTTCGTACAAGACCACGGTTTTTGGTTTCACAACATCAATGGCCACAATACAAATGCTCTGCGTGACCTTTGGTTAGATTTCTCACAAGTTCAATTACTGCTCTATGTAGAAGACCACAGACAAAGAGCAATGTTAAAGGCGGTTGTTGCCCATCAACTAGTTATTTGCCAAGGCAAAACAATGATCCTTTGCATGTCGGTCCAGGTACGCTCCATTGGATGCTCCTCAAGCCCTGCCAGTATTGCTGCTGACCAATCACAGCACGTTTATTCAGAAAAACATTGTATTGTTTGTTTTTTGTTTTTATATTTTATGTAGTTCGCTGCCCCGTTGACTGACATCCGTAGCAGTCCAATCACAGCGGTCTATTGGTTTGGTGGGCCAGTCACAGCCAAAAGTTAAAGATTGTGGTTTGCACACTGATTTGGAACAAGTCAATTACAAGTCATTAGGTAATGGTAATGGATTTGTTGGACAAATTACCCAAGAGTCTAAAACAGATAGTTTGAATGAAACTGACTTTTACCTGTACGTGTTGATGTTGCTGAGGCCCACCAAATCTCTAAGTCCACGGATCTGTATCCCCGAGTCCTCCAAATCCAGACAGAAACTTCGAACTTCAGCTCCACCTCGCTTGAGAGCATTCTGCACGATGAACGTTTCTGGTGGGCTGAGGGGAACTCCACGGAAAGTCAGGCGTTCAGGAAGATTTGCTGCCAGATGGTTCAGCATTCTGCTTCCAGTCTCTCCGCAGCTCTCTTCGTGTGTAAAACCGGTTTCGTGAACGTAGTTGCACAGCTCCAGAACCTGAGCCGGGCTCAGATCACTGAAGGAGAGGCCTTCTAAGTGTTTGGTCACTAAAGCCTGCTTGCTAGCCACCATGTCTCTGAAGACGGTCTCTGTGTACGAATGGAGTCTGTTCAGTTCTGTCCTGCTTTGGAACAAGAGTCCAACTGCAAACCGCTGAGTGAGCTCAAACTCCCCCCTTTGAGGTTTTCGGCGGGCTTTTGCACTCGTCTGGAAAGGGAGAATCTGGAGAAAGGAACGCTCTGGCACCGTTCTGGGAAAACAGAGCATGAGCGTTGGTCAGGAAAATGGAGAAACGGTAACAAAGGTGAAAAAAGAGAAACTAGAACACATGAAGAATTTTCTCTTTTACATTTCCTGTAACTGAAGGAGGAACCTTTTTCACTTTTGGCCAAGTCTGTCAGCCATTTTTTGTTTTCTTTGTTACGATATCCCTTTATTTTAAGTCCTAATTAATGCACAAATTTTCTTCTTACCTTGATAAAGACAGGTGAACAGCAGCCATGAAACTCCGAAGGAAGGAGTTGGCCCACAGCAGAAGGTCACCACCATCATCCACAGCATTAATGTCCATCTCTTTTACTTTTTCCTCTCCATCCTCCACTCCTCCACTTTCATTTTTGTCTTCTTTCCCCCCTCCTTCCCCGTCTTGCCCCTCCCTCCCCCTTTTGTCCGTCTTTGTCCTCAGGCGCTGAGAGACCAGCAGTCCCGTCCTCAGGCCAAACTCCCTGAGTTTGGTTGATAGTGCTTGTTCTGCAGGAAGGATGGAAGAGTTTGATTTGTTGGATTTGACCCCCTCCCAGGCCAAAGAGCTGAGTTGGGACAGCAGCTCTTTTTCTGCTTCCTGACAGTCATCCTCATTCACCGTCTCTTGCTGTTTCTCCTGTCTTTTTGTTCTCTTAGCTCTTTGGGCACATCCAGCTCCTCTTGAGCTCGTCGAATGACTTCTTAGAGACCTTCTTGCACGACAACTGTCTATGACCTTTGATTGCGTTTCGTGTCCTGATTGTTCTTCTGTTTGGCTTTCATCAGGCGTTCCTGCACTTCTGTCTTTTTCTATTTTCAGACATATAACTTGATGACAGAGGCCGGTCAATGTTCTTGGTAAGGCCTCTGAACATTTGGACCGTTCTAAAACCGTGCACACTAGGTGGCACAATCCAGGGTTCCAGCAGAGGAGATTTAGATAGCTGCTGGATTTCAAGTGATCCACTGCAGCATCTCTGAGCTCAGAATCAGGGAAGTACTTCGACAAGTACGTCTCTATGTGTGTTGTGGTGAAGCCAGACAGCTCCAGAAGGCTGTCTGCTCGCCGGAGTAACTGACTGGCAGCACCTCTTGGCCGGGTAACGAGTAGAAGAGTGCAACCTGGAAGCAAGACCCTCTGAAGGATGGCTGAGAACAACTGCCTTATTGTGAAGCTCTGCAACTTGCTGTCCTTCTGCAATGACGTCACTAATTCTTTTTCTAGAGTCTGGAGCAGCATTTCATAGTCCCGCAGCTCCTCAAACCCATCAAAGATGATAAGCACGCGTTTAGAGGCTGCAAGGATTTGAGCGTATACGCCATCAAGGTCCGTGCAAGGAGAAGCAAAGGAGGAAACGCTGAGCAGAAGTGTCTGGAGACTATAGACAGGCTCTGTTAGAGTCAGCTGTTTCCCATCTAATACAAAGACAAAGTCAAACTGGGGGGTGCGGTCTTTAGACCAGTCGAGACACAGCTTCTTGATCAGTGTGGTTTTTCCCATGCCTGCTTTCCCAAAAAGCAAAATGTAACGTTTGCACTTGTCCTCATTTAGGCTTGAGAAGATCTGAAAAGGACAAATGCATATGTACCAGTCAGGTGCCGGGAGCTATTGGATTCAGAAGCATGCAGAGATCGTTTGAAAGACAACGGTAGAATCCGCCCTACGACCGAGAGCCATCAATGGAGCGTTCCCAGACTAAATAATGTATTTATATAGTCTGGCTTGTAGACATTTTTTTAAAATCTTTTATTTTCATTTATTGACATTAAAATAAAAATACAGTTAGAACTAAATTGCTGCAAGCCAAAATGAAAAAGGGGACAGAAAGAAGAAAAACGTATGTTGTCCTCCCCTTTTAACTAAAATAGCATTAATACAAATGAAATAATCATATGATTCTTAAAGAAATTGAACAATATAGTTCCTGGACCTGTTGGCCGACAAAATCTCAACCCATGAATTTGAGAAAAAAATAGAAAAAGAAAACAATTTACACAGAAAGAAGCATTAAGTTATAGATCTATATACATACATATATACACATACAAGCACCTACTGGGTTATTATTTTTTTCCTTTCATCCCCCCACCCCCCTCCCCTCACACATTTATGTAACGGATCTATATAAGTTAATCGTTTTATTTTTTATCTCTTTTTTGAAAGCCAATATTGTTTTTGCATTCTTGAGTTCAGTATTCAATTTATTCCACAATTTAACTCCATATATGGAGACACAATGTTCCTTTACGAGTATCCGATGTCTAGGTATGTTAAATAATTCATGTCCCTTTAAATCATATTTGCTATGTCTTTTTGAAAATCGTTTAATTAATCCTGCAGGTACGTTCCTTTTGTTTGCATTATACATAAATTTTAAAATATTGTAGTCCACCAGATCATAGAATTTTAGTGTGTTTAATTTAATAAATAATGGATTGGACGGATCTCTGTAGTTGCTCCTTGTGATTATTCTTATTGCTTTTTTCTGTAAGATGTAAATGGAATTTGTGTAAGTTTTATATGTTGTTCCCCAGATTTCAATGCAGTAGTTCAGGTATTTAGCTGCTACATTTTGCCCACTCATTTTGGAACAAGAGTTCAACTGCAAAACATGGACATGGATTGTCCATAACTAGGCTTAGCGTACTGTTTTGCTAAAATATAGCACATCCCCTCTTACCTGACTGTGTCCTACAGAGTTTTTTTGTCGATCGATGTCTCCAGTGATGATAAGTTCCATGTCCAAACATTTATTTGTGTTTTTTCCCAAGCGAAGAATCTCTCTCCTGATCACTTGAACATCGACGTAATGAGAGGTCAGGGTCAGGCCCGCCTCAATAGCCTGACTCCTTTCAGCCATATGTGCTTTGTATTGTTGTATGTAGTCCTTTACACCCTCTGGAGAACAAAAACAAATGAATACCAAAACACAACTTTGATTAAACAGATTAAACTTCCTGAAACTTACTTGGAATTTCAACAACAGTGGGATACTTTGGTGGTTCCTTGCAAGGCGGCAGCTCTGAAATGGGAAAAATCAAGTTTATCACCTGGCATTAGGAGAACAAGTACCCACATAGATGAAGAAATAAGAGAGATTGTGATGCCCACCATTACAGGGGGAGGGAGGCGAGGTGTAACAAGGAGACATGGCTTTACTGGCTGTGTCTGACAAAGAACCAGGGGGGAACGAACTCGTCAAAACAGGCGCAACAGCACCGTCCACTATGAACACAGGAGAAAAAAAAAACATTAAAGAAGAGGATAATTCGTAGTAATTGGAGGCCTGCACATCTGCACACAGATTCATGCACAATTCAACTTTACTCACCTGGAGAGTGTGGTGGTACTTGGCGCTTGCAAGTTGGTGGAGTGGCAGGGACTAAAGAAGAAACAAGGTTAAATACCAGTTTGCAAATGCTGTTCATCTACAGTAATTAAAGCAAAAATCTAGATAAATAGCTCACTGCAGTATAACAATGCAAATGCAAAAGTGACCAAAATAAGGTGAAAAAGAGGTGTTAGTCAAGGACCAAATCATCACAAGCAGTGTTAGTCTTGCTAGGTGTACAGCTGCACTTATACTCAAACTAACCAGCCAACAAGTCAAACCCAAGCACTGAGCCATGAGGAACCCCAATGTCAAGCAGGTGTCCTAATGAGCAACAGCCTGGATTTATTTCATGTACGTTTTTTAAGTAAAAGTTGTGCTGTTTGTATGTTCGAACGACAACTTTTCAATCTCCGAATGTTAAAAGGTCGAAATGAGAAAATGTGCTACTGTATCCTTTACATGAAAAACTGTCACCTTTATTCTGATATACAAATAATCTAAGATAAAAAAAAGTATATATTTTTTATCTTCTATGTTTGAATTCTAACATCAACATAAAACCAGACTAGGGCTCAAGAAAATTCTGATCCGGACAGCCCCGGGTGGGAGTTACCCACATATGTCCCTAAGATCTGTATGTTGATATGAATCATTAGCAAATGAGTAGACGTTTGGGTAATTTTTGTGTAGATAAAAGGACTTTACTAACCATTACTTAAAGAAGTCCTTCACTCATATTTTTTATACATTTGCTGTGGTCTCTAGTAGGACCGTTAAGCCTGATTTATGCTTCTCCATGAGCTATGTGAGGGAGAGACGCACACGCATTGATGGAGATGTTTTGCCTTCAAACGTTTCCGTCACCTGGGGGGAGTTGCAAAGCAGTTCCCCGCCAGGGCAACAGGGGGCAAAGCTCTTTTCTGGGGTATCCCGTCATGTATCCGGTCCAAGGTAGTGCATTTACTATTGTTTTCTTGTATTTCGGTGACTTTTTTACACGGAAAAATGTGTCCCTCATTATCCTCCACCTCTCCATGCACTCACCACCTCTAAACCGACGTTTGTCGTCATTTCTCATCATCTCGTTAGACGTATGTTTAGAAAAGTGGGCTCAACTTTGTCCATCCTTGCGTGCCTGTTGGAGAGCACTCGGAAGAGGGCTGGGCGATACGGCCTAAAATCAATATCACAATATATTGAGGATTTCACCTCGATAACAATAAATGGACGATAACTACAGGTGTGCGCAGAAACAAAAGTTGTCCACTAGATGGGGCTGTCACATGTATTACGTTGAGTCACCTTTTTACGTGACTCAAGGTGGTACAGCTTCTTAAAGGTACATGAACGCTGCCAACCTACACACATTTTTTCATTTTTTTATTATCAAATTTATTGACACGGGGACATTTTTCTCAATAAGAGTCAGAAATGTCGATAACGATAAATTTTTGATTCATGCCCAGCCCTAACTCGCATCAACGGATAATGGCGTTGCGTGTCTCTGTACCGACGCAGATGGAGATGCATCATTTAGGCTTAAGTCGTACTCTGGGGGGAAAAAAGGTCCGGTGTTCTTGTTTCAGCATAGAGAAACCAGAGGAGAAAATAGCTTCAGATGGCAGAATTTAGAGTTTTTTTTCTCCTGATATTTTGATATCTCACTTCGGGAGTGGATAACAGCAAAACAACTTTACCACTGACTCTGTTTGCTTTGCAACATTGATGCTTTATATCCACAAATAACACAAGCCTGAAGGGGTTCTGCTGTGTGGTGGAGTTGCTAATGCTAACAGTTAGCTTCTACTAGCCAAGACATTCTCTGCCGTTTCCTGGACGCTAAACCAACAACAGCCTTTCCTGTGGCGAGTCAAGATGGGTGAGTCCACAAATGATAAGTGACAGTCAGTAGATATGTCAGACTTTTGGTTTTAATTGATCGAAGGTCACATTACTAGCTTAATGTGCCTTTGTTATTATTTTTCTTCAAATTATTCTCTTAAGTGTTGGTTCTGCTGTAACAAGTGAATTTTCCCATGGTCGGATCATTTAAGTCTATTCTATTCTATTCATATCTCCTCCATAACTATAGCTGCTATTTGTAGCATCATAGGTAAACACATTTTAAGTGTAATCCAAACCAAACACCATAAGCAGACATTTCCTTGAAGGTTCTGGATTTTTTTCTCATGAACTCACCAAATATGTACGTAGGTGTGGCTGTCATGCTGGGGAGCGGCAGCCTGATGAGAGATGGAGGAGGAGAAGAGGACAACTGGACCACTTTGTATCCTGGACTGTCTGGGATTGTGATGAACTGGAGGGGAATGGGAGCTCCCGGTTGGGCGGGGCTAACCCGAACCAGCGGTGGAGGGGTGCAGAGTTCACCTGTCTGATCTGTTAGAGTTGGCACGGTTACTGGATCAAGACCTGCGAAGATAACCACAAACAACATCCTTAACATTTTCCAGGAACTGGTTTTGTGAATCGGCGTGAGAGTGGAAGAAAATAAAAAGCGCATTTAAGCGGAGGAGCCAATCATTTAGACCCAATGACCTTCCCACTGTAGATATAAAGAAATAAAACAAGCGTGTCTTTTTGATTTTTAAGCAATCAATCTATTAAGTGATCAAGTGCAGATAAAGGTGACTTTAAGAGTAAAGTTGTGTTTGCAAAGGGCCAACAAAAACATGATAGCTACTGCAAAAACCAAAACAACTTTGGGGAAGTTTCATATTGTCGTAGTTCCTTTGATTTACCATGATGATCTCTAACATCTGTAATGTAATACTTCCTGAATTTTATATTTATCTTTAGTCAACATACACCAACAAAGGAACAAAGTGAAAGACGACCAACTATTCAATTCAATTCAGTTCAAGTTTATTTATATAGCGCCAAATCACGACAAGAGTCGTCTCAAGGCACTTCACATAATAAACATTCCAATTCAGGTCAGTTCATTAAGCCAATCAGAAATAATGTTTCCTATATAAGGAACCCAGCAAATTGCATCAAGTCATTGACTAGTGTCAGTGACTTTACAGCAATCCTCACTTGAACTGGTTTCGCCGATTCTCAGCACCAGGGGATCATGTGATACACCGGTTCGGTCAGAACTATTGCACTCATGTACATGCTATTGAAAGTAGTTTTGATTTGTCAATTAATCACTGTTATGACACCCGGCTGTATAATAGCAAGTCAGTTGACTTGTAGGTGTGAGCAAACAAACAAACTTACCCTGACAGACAATCAGCTCAGCGTTTACCTCCAGGGTTACTGGTTCATCTACAGAACAAAGCCAAACAAAACAGGACATCAATCGTTTGTTAGCCATCTGAGGAATAATAAAGGAAGTCCTGTTTTTATTCTTTGTTACAACATGAGACGACTGATAAAGCAGAACAACCTTTTATTGAGAATTAACCATATTTTATTGGAAAGTTTTGTTTTTAGGACAGTAAGAATGGGTTTCAGCCCTTTAGGAATGAATAAAAAGTTCTTCTGAATTTTGCTCTACAAATTATCGCAGCCATTAATTAGCATTTTAAGCAACATAGTAGAAAGTTCTGCTGTACTGATGCTCAGAGGAGAGGAATAAAGACCAGATGTTGGACAGATATTGAAATACTTCATGTTGTTATTTTGTCGTGGCACAGCTATAAATGCTATTACGTGGATCTGGACTCTGGAAAATTATGACCTACTATAAATGTGATAAGTAAATCTGCAGCTTAAAATGTTTATAGCCGATGAGCGACAGTGATCCCCTCGTGGTTTCACTATTGTGCCCCAGCTAAATTCTGGGTTCTTCAGTGGAGCATAGCTAGTTTTCTATTGCAGAAGTCCGCAGAGTCATAGTAACCATTTCTTTTGGGTTTTCACATTTTACGCTTTGCTATTTGACAGAACTCACATAATCTAAATTTTCATGTGCAGGAGGGGTATTTTAAATTGTTTGTCTTAATCGTGTTGGAAGGAAAGTTACATTAAAAGAGATTTTATTCTCAACTGGCGAGGGGGTTTTCAGTGTTTCTCCTTTCAAAATGGCCAAAGACGGACGTAGTCACTATTTCAGCCTGATTTATGCTTCTCCGTCTGCATCAGTGCAGAGACACGCAACGCCATTATCCGTCCTTGCGTAGGGCTCCGGCAGGCCCGCAAGTACGTACGGAGTCGAGCCCACTTTTTTAAACATCCGTCGAACGAGACGGATTACGCAAGCTTGTGATTGGTCAGGACGCCGCTGTTGTTTACAGTTCCGTCATTGCAAAGAGAACCGAGGATAACTAGTTGCAGACACGGAGAAGCTTGAAGAATACCTCGCGAAAAATCTCTAAAAATATGAACGTTTAATTCTCCCGTGACTGGAGGAGTGAAAAGATGCGCAGCAAGCTTTTTATTTGTGGACGGAAATGACAGGAAACGTGGGTTTAGAGGTGGGGAGCGCATGAAGCGGTAGGAAAATGAGAGACAAATATGTCCGTGTTAAAAGTCTCTTATATACACAAAAAACACAATATAAACACACTATCTTGGACCGATACATGACAGGATACCACAGAACAGCGCTACGCCCTCTGTTGTCCTGTCAGGCAATTGCTTTGCAACACTCTCCAGGAGACGGAGAAGTAAAAGAGCAAAACGCTTCCGTCAATCCGTGCGTGTCTGTCCCTTGCGGAGCTGACGGAGAAACATAAACCAGGCTTTACAATCTGTAAGCCCGCAGTGTTGGTGAGTCTTCACCAGCTAGCACTTTGGGCAAAATGTAGCAGCATTTTGTAAAATTCCTAAGCCAGTAAACATGAGCGACCTAGAAGTAATTTCTTGTACCCCTAAAAACCCATGGCATATTTTTGGCTAGAAGCCAGCATTAAGCTGACAATGCTAACTGTGAATTGGAAACAATAAGTCGGCTCTAAAATGATCTCCAATCGTTTTTTCAATTACCAACAACACAATAATACAATCTCTTTTTATTTTGTAGAACACTTGGTGCAACAATTTTCTGCTCAATTTGGAACTTGCTATTAAAAATAGAAATTACAGAGGTCCGATTGCTGATTAAATGTTAAAACAGCTTGCTGCTCACTTCTTGTGTGTCCTACTTTCACAAATTTTATTTTCATTCCTTCTTTTTTACATATTTGCCTCCAATGATATTTAACGTTAACGTAATAATTGTCCCAGGCATTTTTGCTCGAGCCACCCCTTCCTCTTTTCACAGAGATCAGAGGTACGCATTTGCGAGCGACGTTCGACCCTCCTTGTGGCCAATCCACGGACTAATTGCGTACTGAACCGTAGAGAGTTCAGTGCGGATCACGGATCAATGGTGATCTGTTGCCCCCCTAGAATTAAAAGTATTTATCTACTTATCAACTTACTGTGTTTCACACATCTTTGCTCATCATCAAGAAACGTCTGGTGTTGATCCATAGTTGGTAACAGCTATGAAACTCACTGAACTGTAGTGAGAGTCACTTTTTGTTTAGAAAAAGGAGCTGCAGTACCCAAATTTGACCACAGAATGTCACTCTTACTTCAGTTTTACATATTTCACCTTTAAGGCTTAAATTTAAAAAAACTTTTATTTTGTGTATTTTCACCTATTGTTGGTTCTGGAATATAACTTCAACGATAGGCTGGGGTCACATCAACATGTATAAAAGAAATTAGATGCAAAGGAACGAAATGCTAATTAAAACCACAATTGGCTGAGTGCTGGCTGCAATATAAGTATTAAGCTCCGCCCTCTTCATGCAAACGAAATGGACATTTTCCTGACAAAAATAAAATAAAATGTATTGTTCTTTAGTCATTTTTACCTTACTTGTGTTTGTTCAAACATTCATTTTAAACTAAATAAAACACTCACCAGGGTAGTGTGCAGATGGGGAGGTGAGCAAATCCAGCATGGCGGTGCCAGTAAACAAGACATTTTAGCAACAGGAGGAGAAGCTAGTTCTAGTTTTCATGTCAGTTGATTATTTTACATTTGAAAGTGAAACATCAACAATAATTTTAAAAAGAGAGAGATAATATTTCACCTGTTTTTCGTTTTTTGACTCTGGCGCACCGTTGAGACTGGGAAGCTGGAAAAGACAAATCTAAGGTTCAAAGAATGACCTGAGACATGCGGTGCGTTTGAGCTCCAAGTTAGTTCTTGGCATTTACTTCTCTGTTTCTTTCTCTTGACTCTCGATTTGTCCGTTTGTTTTTGTGTCCTTTTCTGCCCGTTGGGGTTTGGTGACTCTGGGACCTCCAACTGCATGAGAGTACCATCTGCAATGCAAAGAAGAGGAAGGAAAAGAGTCGGTGATGCAGATGGCAGACACCATAACTAGAAATTATTGAAACTGTCATGTCTTTCAGTACTGAATCTAAAATAGTATGAGCAATGAGAGTGACCTGGAACACCAGTGAAATGACAAAACTAAACCTAAACAATCAGAAAAAAGTTGTTCAAAGTTCAGGATCCAGATTTGTACCATGGTTGAGGTCATCCATCCATCCCAGCTGATCGTTAAGGAGCACACTTGGGTCTAGATGAGAGACGTCAAAGAAGACATCAGAACCTAAATGGAATTTTCTTATGTTCATACATTTTCCAGAGGCTTTGTTGCACCTTACCGAGGCAGCTCTCATCCATGAACTCGGATAAATCCTCTGAAACACAAAGAAAGGACATTTTCACCAATCTTTCCTGATATTGTAGTGAGGCGCCTCAACAGGACGGTTCATTTTCAACAATATTTCTGTTAGGCCTGGGCGATAAATTGATTTAATGAATTTATTTTAAAAATTGGTTGCGGGCGATTTAAAAAAAAGCCAATCAAATTTTTATGTAATAGCGCCTCTCCCTAACCTTTATGGCCAGGATTTCTAGGTGCAGCCAAGGTGTGGAGGGCATCCGTTTTGGTGGCCTGAGGATCAGGTCTCTGCTTTTTGCAGATGATGTGGTCCTGTTGGCTTCATCAGAACGTGATCTTCACTTTTCGCTGGAGCGGTTCGCAGCCGAGTGTGAAGCAGCTGGGATGAGAATCAGCTCCTCTACATCTGAGACCATGGTCTTGATTCGGAAAAGGGTATAGTGCCTTCTCCGGGTCAGGGACGAGGTCCTGCCCCAGGTGGAGGAGTTTAAGTATCTCGGGGTCTTGTTCACGAGTGAGGGAAAACTGGAGCGTGAGATCAATAGGCGGATTGGTGCTGCATCTGCAGTGATGCGAGCGTTGTACCGGCCTGTCGTGGTGAAGAGAGAGCTGAGCCAGAAGGCGAAGCTCTCAATTTACCAGTCAATCTATGTTCCTACCCTCAACTATAGTCATGAGCTTTGGGTAATGACCGAAAGAACGGGATTGCGGATACAAGCGGCCGAAATGAGTTTTCACCGAAGAGTGGCTGGGCTCTCCCTTAGAGATAGGGTGAGAAGCTTGGTCATTCGGGAGGGGCTCGGAGTAGACCCGCTGCTCCTCCACATCGAGAGGAGCCAGTTGAGTTGGCTCGGGCATCTGGTCAGGATGCCTCTTGGATGCCTCCCTGGTGAGGTTTTCCGGGCACGTCCAACCGGGAGGAGACCTAAAGGTAGACCCAAAACACGGTGGAGGGACTATGTCTCTCGCCTGGCCAGGGAACTCCTTGGGATTCCCCCGGAAGAGCTGGCCCAAGTGGCTGGAGAGAGGGAAGTCTGGGCCTCTCGCCTTAGGCTACTGCCCCCGCGACCCAACTCCAGATAAGCAGATGAAAATAAATGTATGGGTGGCACCTTTTTGGCCCCCTGGAGCTTCCGTAGCGTTAGTTTCACATAACTGCTACAAGAACGTCACAGCACGTACATGTAGCAGCAACAGCAAGCGACTCCATGACCACCGGTGAGAGTGGGAATGTAGCACACTGAAATATGTTCCATATATTCTGTTTATTTCATTAAGGGTTGAACAATATAGGTCTCAGGATATATATACAGTATATATATATATATATATATATATATATATATATATATATATATATATATATATATATATATATATATATATTAGTTAATCCATGACGTTACCAGTTAAAATGTTATCCATAATGCTTACTGGTGTTAAACAGAACATAAAATGCTGTACTAGTCCTTTAAGAGAAGAAGAAGAAGTGTTGGACAAGGCCTTTTGAAGAAAAAAAATGGATGCTTGAGTTCTGAACCAGGGGCATTTTTCTGTTAATAAAAGTTGCAAAAGTACGAAGAAGAACATGTCGTCTGGCAGTTCGTTCAAAGGGGGCAACAGGAAGTTTGTTCCTAAGAAAGGAATTAATCATCCGTTGTTTGGAACTGGTTTGGGTTTGCTGCGACGGACATGGAGCGTGGCACTTTTATACCAAGAGGCTGTTCATTTATTCATTATTTATCCCAGAAATGAGGGTTACATTTGTCTTGCTTGTGACAAACTAAAAAACAAAATTGGCTTTAAGGTGCCTTCCATTTGTACTTATTGCTATTCTTAATAATTGAGGGGGAGAGAGAATCGGAAAAAATTCGTAAATCGAATAAAAAAATATAAAATTGGAGATTTTACTTTTAGGCCGTATCGCCCAGCCCTAATTTCTGTGTTCTAAACCTCCGTTCTGTAAAGAGGCAATGTGCATCTTTTACCGTGAATCTCTGGAAAAATACATCTAAATGTTGTTGAAAATGAATTAAATGATAACCAGTTGTTGAAAAATATTGGCGGCTTCGTAACACAAAACCATAAAAAGCTGGTCTAAAATACATGGAAGTGGGTCTAAGGGTGTTTCTCAATGTTAAGGCGCCTGGCCTTGCGAGGCGATGGCTTGCTAGGCCAGGTGCCTTGCTTACGAGGACGCTGTCCTTCCTTGGTCAAAGAAAACAATTAAATGGAACAGACTTGCATCACGTGACCACGGCTTCCACGGCGGTCACGTAACGTCACGTGACACGGGAGATAACGTTATATTTTATACGTATTAGTTTCAATATAAATATATAACGAGCCTTTTACTTTTTAAATTGTGTATATGTTTGTTAAATTAAATATATTAGTGAGTTACTACCCGCTAGCCATTGAAGCTGCGACTAATAAGCAACTAACCAACCACAGATAACTTCACTGGATTTACAAAAACATTTTAAATTAGTTGACTTTCTTTTAAACTTGAAAATTGTCCCCGAAGTAGCTGCCGGCTTCTGATCCGCCGTCCTTTAGAAAATACTGCGGTGTATTGTGGGTAATTTTTGACCAAGGCTAGGCTACAAGGCTAGGCTAGACCCCCCCCCCCCCCCCCCCCCCCCCCCCCAACTGCTAAAGAACTTCTACAGAGCCATGATTGAGAGCACTCTATAACTCAGTATAACGGTGTGGTATGGGAGCTGCACTATCCAGAACAAAAAAGACCTGGCCAGGGTGGTGAAAACTGCTCAGTGGATCGTGGGGAGCCCACTACCAGATCTAGACTCAATGTTTACTATCCAACTGCAAAGGAAGGCTAACCGTATCGCTGCTGATCCCTTCCATCCAGGTCACAAACTGTTTATGCCGCTGCCATCCAGGAAACGGTACAGGAACATCAAGGCCACAACCACCAGGCTGAGGAATAGCTTCTTCCCTAGAGCTGTTAAAGCCATCTCATCCACCATTATTTTTTTATTTGCGTAGAAACAAATGCAGTTCCCTGCCATCTTTAAATCCTGGTTAATAGTTTTTCTTGGACTGTGGCTGCTTTTTACTGCGTTTTACTAAACCAAGCAGCCTAAAATGATTATTCCTTCAGTGCCATCTAACAAAAAAATTCCCAAATACAAAGCCGTGTAAGGTTCAGACACAGTTCTTACTTTGATAGATCTGACTCTTCTGTTCTTTCGCCTAATCTTTAACCCTCTGGAGGCAGGCGTTGCAGATTTGCAACGTTAAAACCAACCTACCTGGTTACTCCACATACGCATTTCATGAGCATTTTTTTTACTCAGAAGTACCCCTGAATGACTTAGTTGTTCGTCCTTTTATCAAAACTTATTTTGAGCCAGAGCGGGTTAAGGCACAGACTTTACAATGTGTTGCCATGTCTCGGACAAGATGCAGTCATATAATTAGATAACAATGAATCAAAGTCCAAAGAAAAACCCTTGAAAGACCTTCAGAAAGCCTAAAGAGCTATCGATCAAGGTTACTTTAAGAAGCTACTAGAAAATATTACTTCATGGAAGCAAAATGTGGTTTAAAGCTTTTGTAAATTAATGTTAAATCAGAATCCAGGAATACACAGTTTGTGTTGTACGTATTAATCATTAATATACATGGATGTAGTTTTGACTGGGGGGGGGGGGGGGGGTATTTACAGTGCATTCTAATGGGAAACGGGCTTCAACACTAACAGTTGTTTCCCGCTTGGTCCTAGTGCTCAACCAGTATTTATTTGATATAGCATAACATTGTCCTTGGATGGTAAAAAGTGCAGAGGTCAAAACTTGACTTTGGAAAAAGTGGGGGGGGCATGCCCTCCCTGTGCCCCCCCCCCCCCCCCCCAAAAAAAAAACTTACGTCCATGTTGACACATTCAATAACCCTCATAACAATGTTTTCTGAAACACATACCCTCTTAAAATCTGGGTTTCGTTTTTCACAGAGACAATTGTACAACCTGTTTACATTTTTGTTTAATCAACATCCAACACTTTTCTTGTTTATGTTTAGGAACTATTTGGTTGTGGTTAGGCAGCTGGGTTCGGGCAGTAAAATTCCTGGTTAGGTTTAGAAATAAAAAATAGGTTAATGTTGGACGTAGTTGTCGTAGACGGTGAAACACTGGGATTTGAAAAGCCTGACAGATCTATGTCACACTAGCGTCCAGGAACGTCTCGGCTGGTAGAAGCTAACTGTTAGCATTAGCAACTCCAACACAGAGTAGAACTCCTCCAGGTTTGTGTTATCGGTGGAGATAAAACATCCATGTCGCAAAGCAGAGTCAGTGGTAAAGTCATTGCTGTTAACCAATCTGAGGTGAGATGCTCAAATATCTCCAAATCCTGTCGTCTGAAGCTACTTTCTCCGTGCTGATTAGGGGTTGCATGACTTAATTTTTTAAAAAGTCGACAGTCAAGTAATGAAAATCGAGTCGACTTCGACTCGTCGTTGATGACGTCATACACCTGAAGCGGCGGCCGGGGGGGGGGGGGGGGTCGGTAGGTTCGCGGGAGTTTTTGACAATTAAAATTGCGCCCACATTTTCTAAGTTAACACATCTCTTTTAACAACGGTAGTTTCTGCATCCTACTTCAGTCCCCTCCCCCCTCCCCCTGCGCAGCAGCAGCAAACTGATGCGCCTGCAGCCTCTCGGAGTTCCTGCTGCTCTAAACATTAAAATTTTCTGTTCCTCACTTCTGATTACCTTCAATGGTGTCTGTTTGTTGCAACCACCAGGTACAAAAACTAACTTGTTTTTATTTGACTATTTTTCTGTCCTGTCTGTTTATTATCTTCCTGCATCTCCTCTCAATCCTAAAGAAAAACTGCTACCTGGGTTCATATATATTCACCTTATGAGTTACCTTTGAACTGCAGTTCTAAAAGATCTACTGACCGCAAAAACAGCGGAGTGCCGCTGCTTACCGGCCGACTACAACGGGACCATTTTTGCTGCGGAGTCCATGCCGGAGCGGAGCGGAGATAGTGGAATTTTGGGGCTGCGTCACCGGAGAACAAAACAGGTGAAGAGCCTCGCTCCGCAGCAGCGAAACGCATCAGGCACAAATAACAGACAGAAAACATGAAAGGAAATGAGCCGACATGAACGATCACGTGTTTAATTTGATTTTGAGGTGGTGACACCTGATTTGGCGGTGCTCCGGACACAGATGTCTGGAGCGCGTCAACGATCAGAGCTTTGCATGCGCAAGCTGGTTACGGTTAGGATGGGGGTGAGGGGAGGGTAAAATTGCAAGAGGGAAAAGGTCACAGTTTGGTTAAATGTCCGTTTTACCGCCGGTGTCAGTACCGACGCTCTGGCACAGCGCGTCGCCTCCGCCTCCCGACGCAGGTGCTCATCACCTGCTGGAGGACTGCATCTTGTCAGTCATTATCACATGACAGCGACTAGTCGATGACAGGCATAAAAAGTCACTACAGAGCCGTGAAGTCGACTAGTCGACTAGTTCATACAACCCCTAGTGCTGATACGGGTGCTCCGGAGCTTTTTTCCCCCCTGAGTACAACTTATACAAGGCGTTCAGTCCTTCTACGGACCACTACAACACCTTTAAGGTCTTGAGGTGATCTCCAAACATAAAATTAAACTTAGAACAAATTCCTAATAGATTATTTTCACTTTTATTATTGATGTAAAAGTAAGAAAAAAAAAATAACAGAAATAAATTTTCCACTGTAAGTGAAAGATCTTGTTTTGTTATCCTTTTATGATTTTGTTTTACTTTGAGAAGTCATGTTCAACCAGCATATTTAGTGTTGCACGTCTTTGTCAGATTCCTTTTTTTGAGTCAGAAAGGGGACTATTTATATTTGTAACTCATGTACCTGTATTTGTTTTTCCTTTTCTTATTTGTATCTGGCTGTGCTGATTTGTAGTTATTTGTGTTGTTCTAAGAACTTAATAAATCATTGTTAAAAAAAAAGGGGACTATTAAACATCTCGTAGAGCTACTTTTCAAAATGTAAACATGAGTTTGTGCCTGAGAACACAACAATAAATGTTGTTTTTATAGAGCAATCTAACCTTGATGTGCCACATATGAAACCAAATGTTATAAATGATCTACTCATTGATGTCTTTTAGGCCTTATGTGAGGTGACTTGTGTTGTTTTTGCAAGACAAACCTGGAAAGAAGTCGAAGTTAAAGAGCTCCTGGTCACAGACCTGCATCTTGGCATCTGATAAAGAAGAAACACATAAAACAGGATGAAGTATGTAAATGAAAATATTAAAAAATTAATAAAAAGTAGACTTTTATTAAACTGAGGAAGGAAATCAGTTCAAGCGACATGCCTTTTCTTTGCACATTAAGGAAGCCATTTGGTCTCACGTCACAAGTTCTTCATTTTATTCAAAATCAGGTGGAAGTGAGTGCATCGGTGGGGTTTGCAAAAGATCTTTATATAGTATGTAGATAAATATATATTTCAGGTGCTCTTCAGGATCCGATCAATAATTAATTAATTAATTAATTAATTAATTAATTAATTAATTAATTAATGGAGCAAGAAAAAGCAGATGAGTTCCGGTCGCGTACGACTTTCCTCAGGGCATTGCATGGCACTGATTAATAAAAACACTTCTCAGAATGCCTCAGATCTCATTCTTCATTTTATTATCTGCACAATGCAGAGACGCTGAGTCAGACTTTCTACAGCTGAAAAATTATGAAATTAGCAAACATTACATAGAATAATTCTCCCTCAGTTGTCTTAAGCACATACACACATACTTTACTGCTTATTTGATTAAAATGTATAGAGTTTGCACTATACAGCTCATCTACACTCGCCAGGTACAAGTCCTCGCTGTGGCCGCAATCCAGAGTTTTTCCCCTTTCAGGAATTATGTAGGACTTTTTAGAAGTAAGTAAAAATCAGAGTCAATCTTGTGCTGCGATATAATGTGGGCAATACGTCAAATGTTCTTTTGCTAAGCCCGCCTCCGTCCCGTAAAGCCAAATGCAATTTCAGTTGCTCAGCATTAGCCAATAATTAGACATATGCTTATGTAGAGATGTCAATCACAGAGCGTGCACTCATGTGAGGATCTACCTAGACAGATGGAGAGTTGGCGACATTCCTTATGGACACGTAAGTCTTTAAAACCTATACACGTTTGAAAAAAAACAGTATAATGTTAGAATAATAATCATCAAATGATGTATTCTAGGTCTGTTGCCCAGAGGTGCACCAGGAGCTTCAGAATGGATGTAAAAGATTTAAACTGTCTTTGAATGTGATATGGTTGATTGCATGGACGTAATTGGGGGGGGGGGGGGGGGGGGGGGTCAGGGGGGACATGCCCCCCCCCCACTTTTTCCAAAGTCAAGTTTTGACCCCTGCACTTTTTACCATCCAAAGACAATATTACGCTATATTAAATTGACACTGGTTGAGCTCTAGGACCAAGCGGAAAACAACCGTTTGTGTTGACGCCTGTTTCCCATTAGAGCATACTGTAAAGATACCCCCCCCCCCCCCGTGTCCCCCCACTTCTAAAGTGAAAATTACGTCCATGGTTGATTGTGCCAGATTGCGCCACGGCAAAATACACATAGCGGAAACCCTGGGAAAGAAAGCTGAAAACTTTCCGCTTTCTGTTCTCAAGTCCTGCTTGATGTCGGGACTATCGTGCGACAGAAGAGATCAGACTGCGGGACGGAAATTCTCCAGGGACTCCCTCAGGATGTGTCATTCAAACCCTGGGCTTGTGGCTAATGTTGTGCTGAAGTTTTACAGAAAGCAACACACCAGAGGTGTGACCAAGTCACTGCTTTGCAAGTCACAAGTAAATCACAAGTCTTTCCAGTCAAGTCTTGAGTCAAGTCCAAATCAAAGACAACCAAGTCCAAGTCGAGTCCAAAGTCAATGATGTGGAAGTCCAAGTCAAGTCCAAGTCCTTAACTTTGAATTTCCAAGTCATAATCAAGTCATCTGTCAAATTTCAATTTAATGACAATGATAATAAATAAATTCCAGAAAAAAAAGCTTCTTAAAACTTCATTTATTTGCTCAAATGAGCAGAAAGTGCAACTTATAAACAAAGTGCTGCTGCACTTGGCAGTACAAGATCACACCCAGAACAAAGAATGATTTATGATTTCTGTCCATGTCGTGCCACTTTTGTGCTAAAATATCAAATATGCTCAAGTCACCATCAAGTCAACAAATGCAAGTCAATTCAAGTCGCAAGTCATCGGCGTTCAAGTTTGAGTCAAGTCGTGAGTCTTTATAGATTTTAAAGAGCTTTCTCTGTTGCGGGTCCTAAACTGTGGAACGAACTTCCAGTCACAGTTCGACTGGCATCCTCCTTGGCAGATTTTAAGTCTACACTAAAGACACACTATTTTACCCTTGCTTTTAACAGTTAGCTGTTAGTTTGGCTTTTACTACTCTTATTTTATCATCCATTGCAAGGTTTTTATTGGTATTTTTTATCGGCTTGTCTTTTTTTATTGTTGGCTGTATTTTATAGTATTGTTTTATGTTTTTTATCTCTATTATTGTGCGACTGTTCAGCACTTTGGTCAGCTGTATGGCTGTGTTTTTAAAGTGCTATATAAATAAAGGTGGTATGGTATGGTATGGTATGGTATGGTATGGTATGGTATGGTATGGTATTTTATAGTCAAGTCAGAAATCAAATAATGACTCGAGTTTGACTCGAGTCCACACTTATGCTACACACACTAGTTATGTTGTTGTGTACATTCCTAACAATTCCATTATTTTTAAAAGCTTTTATGATAAAATAAAAAAAATGGTTTTTACTTTTTAAAAATAAACCTGTTATTTTATTAGTTTGTTACTTTTAAAAAAAAAGTCTAACAGAGTTTTAGGTTGGAACTGAATACCATTTAAAACCGTTACTAAAAAAACACACCGCACCTGCCAAACAGGAACAAGCTGCTGCCACATTTTGATTTGGAGCTTGAACTTTCTTCTGTTCCACATTTGCGCACGCAGCCATCTTTGGTCAGCATGCGCGCGCCACTGTATAATGTTTAATTTGATTTGGCATGAAACACGTCAAATAGTTGGCTTGTGAATCCCCCGAAAGCCCATCTAACAGCACCGCCACTAGTACGTGCATTTCCCCCTGCTTCACCCCGCGTGTTGATTTTTACCGCATGCGTAAAGAAACTGATCCGACTTGCTGTACTTCTTATTTTAAAGACTTAGTAAAACCGGAAACCAACAAAGATTACATTTAATTTTCAGACATTTTATAAACATATATTATTATTTTTTGCAGCATCATATTTTTGGATATTTTTTTATCATTCATGTGTTTAATCCAACGAAGCACATCACAAATAAATAATTTTCTCATTGATAATTGGATCATAAACTATTGAAACAGCGTGCTGCAGGTCGGGAATCATCTCTCCCACTGAAGCGCGCGACCACCACGCTCCCTCACGGATGGGATCCTTACCTGTCGGTTCTGGCTAAAGTGATACTCACGTGTGCACAACTCCCTGCTCCGTTATTGGACCAAAACGTCTTCTAAAAAGTTACATCAACTGCAGCATTTATCCTCGATGGCTCACTCCAAAAACCAGGCAGTGCGCACATTCACCCTGAAACAAAGACTGGCTTTTGGTTTCACTTAACCGACCTGAGTGGTTTGGTCATCACCACACCTCCATCAGCGTGGCGCACTTTTGGTTTGAAAACTAAATGGTTTAACAATTAAAAACAATAGGTGAAAAATACAAAAAATAAATAAATAAATAAAATCAAGCTTTAACAAAAATCCTTGTGGGAAATAAATATCAGCCTTGTGTCATACTTTTGTTGGCATTCAATAAGAGTGATGAAAGTTAACGTTGAAGTGGTTCATGTATTTATTAGATTAATTTTGAGGGCAGATTTAAGCGTCCTTGTCATGGATAACCTCTGAACAACCTCAGTTTGGAGAAACAGAGATTCGTTATGACCTGACCGGCAAGTTGCCAGATTGGTACCAGTTGGGTTATTGCCACAATTTTTTTTAATGTAAGTAAATTGTATTTATATAGCACTTATCACAGACATAGAATCACAAAGTGCTTCACATTGATCAAAACAAAACAAAGCCATAAAATCATAAATAGATTAAAATCATAAAATCAAAATGCTCTCAAAACAGAATTAGATTAACATTAGAAAAAAGTCATTAAATTATATATTTTCATAAACAGATGAAAGATTAAAAATTTGAGTTAAAAATAAGAAAATAGGGCAGTGCAGTGGTTAGAGCTGTTGCCTTGCAGCAACAAGGTCCTGGGTTTGCTTCCCGGTCTGAGGTCTTTCTGCATGGAGTTTGCATGTTCTCCCTGTGCATGCGTGGGTTCTCTCCGGGTACTCCGGCTTCCTCCCACAGTCCAGGAACACTTGTCACTCGTTATGTGCCAAACCGGGTGTTGAGATCTGCTGATTGCCTGCTGCTTCGCGCTCCAACAAGGAAATACAAAACGCGGGGGCAGCGTGCTTTTGTCTATGCTGCTCAGACACTCTGGAATGCTCTTCCTCTTTCAGTGAGGCTGGCACCATCCCTCCTCCGTTTCAAGTCGCTACTTAAGGCTCACTTTTACGACCAGGCATTTTTAAATCCCTGACTTTTATTATTTAACCATGTGTCTTTTTATTGACCATGATTATCTGCTTTGTTGTGTTTTTTTTTTTGTTGTTGACCGTGTTTTATTTTGTGTTTTTACTTTTTATTCTGTACAGCACTTTGGTCGGCTGCCATGCCGTTTTTAAATGTGCTTTATAAATAAAGTTGGTATGGTATGGTATGGTTGTTTGTCCTGTGTGTCTCTGTGTTGCCCTGCGATGGACTGGCTTTCTGTCCAGGGTGTACCCCGCCTGATTGCCCATTGACCGCTGGAGATAGGCACCAGTGCCTATGTTTTTGCATCTTCTTCAACAGTGCAAGGCAGACTGCCCCGTTGACTGACATCCACAGTGGTGATTATGTCACGTTGTTCAATAGCATGCGGAGACAGCCTGAAAGACAACCGCAGATTCTGCCCCACAGCTGAGATCTCTCTATAGGTCATGGCCATACATTCACATATATCAGGGAAGATACCAGAGTGTTCCATGATGGTCTTTGTGTTCAAAACGTAGCTTGTTCTGTAGATTCGCTATTGGGAGCTTAAGTCTCCTCCAAGCCCCACAATGCGGGTCAAAAATTGAAGCAAAATTGAAGCAAACGCGGAAATGAAATAAATTGCAGTTCCACCCTCATCCACTGGGGGCTGGTGTCAGAAGCGAGTAAATCCTCATTGACTCCCATGTTAAAAATACCAATTTCACAGCAGAAATAAACATGTTTACAGCCTGGTACCAAAACATGTTTTTGGTTTAAAGGGGCATTATGGAAGTTTGACAGCCAAAACATGTATAGAAATAATAAATTTCTTCTTCATACATTCTCCTGCAATGCCCTGGTCCTGTAGAATGAGCCCTGGCATTTTTACTGTGATAGCCTGTTTTTCTGTAAAATCACAGAAAAAGAGAGTTGCTCGGGTCAAGCAGGCTGCTTCATGCGCGTTCACGCTCAGGCATAGCCCGTAGCATTTGCTATCCGTAGCTTTAGCAGCAGAGAGAGAGGTAGTGCCAACTCAGCGACTTTGTCGCTGTTCCTAACGCCTAGCGACAAAGCTAGCTACATTTCTGAGGACCCTTAGCTACTTTCTGTAGAACTTTCTTCTAGATATTTCCTGCAAATTAGCAACAAAATAGCCATTTTCGCTCCGAACCGTTCTTTGAACGTTGTTTCAGCTGTCATCAATGATATAAAAGTTACAGATACAGAAGACGTTACGGGTGCTTTAGCTCACTTAGTAGGATGATGGCCTTCTAAGCGGAAGATCCGGTGTCGGTACAAGATCTGCTCGGGTGCAAGATCGGCTCGGGGTCCTTCGACTGCCGATGACGTCAAAGTACGGCAAACCCACTCGGACAAAATACACTACACATCTATACTGTTGGAAAGAATTTGGCATTTTCGTTATTAAAATAATGTTTCTTAAGACGTAAGTTTGTGTTTATAATGGTATTTGTAAAATAAAACACTATATTTTATTCATAATGTTGAACTCCTCTTTGAGCACATCCATTGAAGAATCATAGGTATTAGCAACACCTGTGAAATTGTATTTGCAGGAAAGAAGTGTGTCCCGTTTATTGAAGTATTTTGTGTTTAGCGTTTTTGACGTCTTGTCCATGAGCAGTTCAGGTACGCTCATAGCTGCTAGCCAAAACTCTGGAGTTAAAAGTTTTCTGGCTTTACTAAAATACCTGTCTGTACTTATTTGATTGATGGTATTTTTACTTTCTATTAGACTCCAAATGTAATCATTTGGCACGTTTCTAATTCATAATTTGTAATAATGTAATCGGCGATATTAGCATTAGCATTCCTATGGGTTTTTCCATGTATATTAGCATTGCGCTAACCACTCGCTGCCAAATTGCAGCCTTTGCGATTGGAAAATCTCCTTTTGTCACATCGCAATTTAATTGCACACGCGGTTAATCGTTCAGCCCTAATATACATGCAGCTCTATGCTAAAAGTGTATTTTCAAAGAGGTAATGATGGATTTCTTTGTAAAAGTTGTCCATCTTTCCAACAGAAAGATTTGCCTGGACCAACGTACCGTGATAACAACGTAACGTGATTACGTAATTCCATAAGGTTCATGTTCAGCCAATCAACTACTTAGAAGTCATTGGCAGTCGACGGACCCCGAGCCAATTTTGCACCCGAGCAGATCTTGTACCGACACCGGGCTTGAATCTTGATGTGAACAAAGTTTATTTAGTGTTTATTTTTTACATTAATGGTATATTTTTTTACAGTGAGATGCCCAAATTTTTATTTGAGACCCGCCGGACGGCATTGAATTCACAGATAAAAAAGATGTGGGTTCAATTTTCATTTTGGAACCATTTTTCAAGCAAGGGAAGGGAAGCTCAGTGAAGCTGACGGACTGACCCATCTTAAACCTTTGTCGGCTGTGCTGAAGATAAACGTACAGAACCAAATTATTTAATTAATTAGCTGTGCGTTCTACTGTCCTCCAGGCCACACACACACAGAGCTGACTGTCACAGCTGCTATTTTCGTTAAGGAGTGTGCACGTACAGCATGCGCGCCTCATGCACGAGCCTACTATTGAAGCTGCCGTTACGCTTTTGGCCTTTTGGCAATCGCGAGCATAACAATTAAAAACTCCGTAAAGTCCCTTTAAATTATCTAGTTTACACTCATGACAACTCTGAGGGGGGTGAATTTCTTTCTCACTCTTCTGTTTAAGTGTATTAAAAGTCTAAAATTTTGTATAATTAATGAGCATCAGACCCACGTGACCACAGAGCTAGCTCCCGGGAAAGGCCTCAGTCTGAGCCTCAGCCTCGCCTGAAAACTGTTTGGTCATTTTCAGTCTCTCAACTTAGACCATTAGTTGTAGCGATTATGTATTCTTTTTTGGATATATTTTGTGCAATTGTTGGACAAAATGACTTGCTGTGGCATTAATTGCACTAATAAAGCGTCCAAGGAGTCTCCACTTAATTTTTTTCGGTAAGTAAAATTATATTTATGTATTTTAGGTCACTGCCAAGCTGAGCTTAAATTTTAACATGTACTGTTTAACCATGAAATGTAAATGTAATAGGGTAAAACCCAGTACATTTAAAATAATGCTGCACTTTAGAAAATGGGTTGAAATATAACATGTTGGTGGAGCTGGGTTCCGACTATCGGTTTGTGGAGCTCTCGGGAGACCTCTGTGTTCCACTCGGTTTTATCCAGCGGTCAGCCCGGCGTATCTCTGACTCAGAAGCTCTGGTGTTGTGCACAGTTAACTCCGGTTGTAGCTAGGTTGCTACCTCCGTTAGCTTAGCTCCCACCTCCGCGTTAGCTTTTGGTTAGCTTCAGGTTAGCTTGTAGCTAGTTCGACCTGGTGTCGTCAGTTGATCCCAGCCTTACAGCCCCACCCTCAGCTTCACCGCTCTTCCCTTTTGTGGAATTGTCTGGGCTTGATGGAACCTGTGACACGGTCAAAATGGCGGTGGTGGCCACCTCCCATTTTGCTTCAAAATCGTGTTATTGGAGTCTATGGAAACCCATTGTCCAATATTTATATGTCGATGGTCTCCTCCCTTTCCAGTCGGCCCACGGGTCCCCGGAAGAACGAAAAATTAACGCAAGTCAACAGGGCTAAAAACGCTATTTTCTCCGGCTTCCTCCCACAGTCCAAAAACATGACTGTTGGGTTGATTGATCTGTCTAAATTGTCCTTAGGTGTGAGTGTGTGCATGAATGTTTGTCCTTTGTGTCTCTGTGTTGCCCTGCGATGGACTGGCACTCTGTCCAGGGTGTACCCCGCCTGATTGCCCATTGACCGCTGGAGATAGGCACCCCACCTGCAACCCTACGTGGACAAGCGGGTTCAGACAATGAGTGGATGGATGGATAAACTTTATTGTATTTATCCTAGTGAATCTATAATTAAACAGGTAAACTAGTAGTAGCACATTCCATGTCAAAGAAAGTAAAATGTTATTATCAGGAGAGGGAGAAGGACATGACAACTGTACGCGCTCCCAATGCCGGGGAAACAAATTCTGGCAGGGATAACTACATTGGCACGACACCGGCAACTATTAAGTTGCAAATGGAATATTCTGGCCACATGGGGTGATAAGGGCTGGGTGGTCTTTCATTAACCCAGTAAAGGGTCATTTTAGCACATCCTGGCACAAGAAAATGGTTCAAAATTATGAAAAAGTTGCCTTTGAAAGGCACTTTTCATCACTCTATTACTAAAGACGATCAAGAAGTCGTGAATTTCAACTGGATCCATTTTCTATGCAGCGCAATGTTTCGTCTATTTGTTTACATTCCAGCTTGATGCCATCTGGTTTCATAATAGATCTTCCAGTTTAGCTACAGAAACCCTCAGTAAGAGGACAAAAATAATGTCCTACTATTCAACCAGTGGAAAGCACCA